TCCTTTCCTCTTCCTTTTCCTTTTCCTGGTTTTGCGAATGGTATGTGACGGCAGGAGGAGCGGGGGCCTTGGCTTAACCGCCTGGGCCGCGAGGATGGTAACTCTATAATTGGCCCTCGAATCCTAAGTTATGTTGCGCGGCGATGGGATGCATGGTTGGGAGAGAAGGCCCAATCCCGAGCGACCACCTCCGGGGTACCTGCCGAACCCCCGGAGTATTTAGACTTCCCCAGGTAAGGCGGCTCTGCCTGGGGTGACCTCCGTTCCGACCACACTCGTGGGTTAAATATGGAGTTTAAAACGTTTAAACATAGGACTGGTATTACGGATAACGGAAAGGCAAATGTTTCTTCGGCAGACGAGAAAGGTTTAAAGGATAAGAAATTGGTTGGACCATCTCCTGGTGGGGTTATGCCTGCGGTCAGGAGCGTGGAGGTGGCTAATCCCCCGCTGGGGACCCACCTGGGGGGGGGGAAGTGGACCTTGTCAGGGTCAGCGCCGCTCCAGTGATTTCGCTGAAGCGGCGTAAGGCCTCTGTGAGGACCAAGAAGGAAAGGGAGTCGCCACCACGTAAGAGGCTTTTTTCTGAGGGCCTACGGTCTTTGGTGGGCGACGCTGCTTCAGCAAAAAAAGAGGAGGCAGCGACTGGTGTCGGGGAGACGGTCTCTCAAGATGTCGGCGAATGGGCGTCGCCAAATCCGCGTATTGCCGAGGTGGAGAGTGTCGGCATGAGCGAGGACAGTGACGATCGTCTGGGACCTGGCAAGAGGAAGAGGAAGGGTTCCCGGCTGGAAAGACCAAGGGGAATTTTTGTGGACCCAAAGAAGTTGGGTCCTGGTATGAAGAGCCTGCCGAAGCAGGGGGACCTCCGAAATATTGCGGAGGTCATGAAGCTTGACGAGCTCTTGGACCGGCTCAGGGGGCAGCTGGAGGCCGTCGTCAAGGTGGCGGATACCGCGAGCCACCTGAAGACGACGGACGTCCGGGGACTGCGCTTGGCTGCCCGGGTCGCCATGGTCAGCGCTGAGGAATTACACGGCAGGGCTGGCCGTGTCGAAAACCCGGACAGACCGGCCCGGGAGGTCGTGATCCGGCTGGGCGAGTGGGAGGAGAGGGCCAAGGCCCTGGAAAAGAGGTTGGAGGTGGCAGATGCGGCTGCCACCACCATGTCCGCGGATTTAAAGGTCAAGGACAGAGAGTTGGAGCACCCCAGGCGGGAAGTTGACCGCCTGAGATATGGGGATGAGCGTCGTGGATTGCGGCGTGCGGAAGAGGAGGTTCCTGGGCCGTCGTCGGCGGTGCAGCCCAGCCCGGCAGGGGGGGGAGTGCCTTGCGGCCGGAGGCCCTTTAATGGTCATGATGACCGAGGTAGTGAAAAGGGTTTCCGACATTGCGGGGCACATCTCTGCCGTTGAAGACTGGGTTGAGGCCCGTCTAGAGGCGGTGTGGCGGGTTGTTTCTCGTCCGCCGCTGGGGAAGGGCCCGGTGTTCCCGCATCCATCCGTAGAAGTGTCTCGGTCGGTGGTGGCGAGGGTGCCGGGTGCACCGAAGGGGAGGGCGAGGGGGGCCGCGATGGCGACGCCCGGGGGCATGTCTGCCCCCGTGGTTGCGCCTGCGGTGCCGCCTAAGTTAATCCCGGTGATGAAAGGAGTGGGCATGGCCCAGGGTGCCACGCCAGCGGCTGGAGGGGCGGGAGTGGTAAAACCACCTGCCTCGAAAGCTAAGGGGGCAGCCGGGGCTGCGCTGGGTCCAGCTTTGTCACTTCCCAAGGCGGATGTTGGCGGGTCCGCACGGCCTGCCAAGGATGACGCGCTAGGCTCTGCTCCTGCCCTCGTCAACGAGGGTCAGAACACCTGGGCGGAGGTGGTAAAGCGGGCACGGAAGAAGGGTGGTGGGAAGGGTGTGGCTCTTGCTGCACCCCCACCCAACGGAGGGAAAGCATCCGCGGGAAGTCGGCCAGCCGTCGGTGCCGCGGCTGGCAATAGAAAGAAGGGCGGTGCCCAGCTCGCGGCTGTCAAACTGCCGAGGCTGCCAAAAAGCGCAGCAGTCTCGGTGACCGCCGCGGCTGGGCGAGAAGGCGATCTGGGTCCCCTCCTTAACAGGGTGATGCCCGAGATCTGTAAGGATCTCGGGATCACCGGGATGCGGCCCACGAGGGCGGTCACCGGGGCGCTCCTGTTAGCGATCCCTGGAGAGAAGGGTAAGGAGAAGGCGACCGCCCTTAGGGCGCGTCTCGAGGGGGCCCTCCAGGTGGAGGGTGTTCGGGTGGCTTGCCCTCAGAAGCAGGCCGAGATAAGGGTGTTCGGTCTATCCGAGGCTGCCACCCAGGGCGCGGTCAGGGAGGCCCTTGCCGCTGCCGGTGGCTGCGGCGCCACGGAGGTTGCCGTTGGCGATCTCCGACGGGACAGTTCGGGCCTAATCCAGACCTAACCCAGACCTGACCCAAACCTAATCCAGACCTAACCCAGACCAAGGTGCTTAAATTTTTCGACGAAAAAAAAAAATTTCGAATCGTTCTGAAAAAATTATTTTCGGCTACAGGGATCAATTTCAATCATTTTTTGTGAATACACATACCCTCGAAATCCTGCGCGTTTTTGAGAAAAAAATTCAGTACTGGCTCCACTTTAAACGTTAATAACTTTTTAACAAAGCCTCATCAAATTTTGAATCGAGTATTTATTAGAAAATCATTGAAAATCAAATACTTATACTTTCTGCTACGTGACCTACATAAAACTGTGATCAAACAATGATTATCCTTATGTGTAAATATTGTTTGTAGAAGAGAAACTTGTTTCTATGCTTTTTATCATATTTTATAATTACGTTATTTATATGATTTGCAATAAATATTGAAATGCAATTGCCATTACTTTATTCTTTCTTTATTTCGTAATATCGTGCTTTTTGAATTTTATAAATATCATTGTTAGTTTGGTTTTTATGGGCTTGTTCTCTAACCATAACAAACTCGTCAAATTGGCTCGGTATTCTAAAAGGGTTAAATTATAAAAATCGAAAAAGGTGGTTTGATCCGAATCGTAACACTAGTCTGACTAGAATAAAGTCGCAAGTGCTTAACAAGGAGGCTTGGAATCGAGTAGAGCGTTGAGAAGGTACAAAAAGATTACGATAGAACCCGTTGATTGGACCATTCTCTCTTACACGAAGAGAAATTGAAGAGCAGTAAATTAAACAAATAAATAGTCTCTCGGGCAAATACTTTGGTAAACAAGGAAGCAGTAACGACGAATCTATTCAGCCTGATTAGAAGCTCGATTAGAAAAGAAATCAGTCACGTTTTCCTTTTCAACTGTCGACGTTGTGAGAAATGTAATCTGATTACATTTGCTGCGATAAAATTACGATGATTAAATAGTTTTTATGCACTTTGTTGTATTCTTCGATACAATAGACTATTCGTAGAATTTTTGCACATATGTGTTTCGTTCAAACTAAAATCTTTCATAATTCAAAATGTACAAATCATCAAACAGACCATATTTTTTAGAAACAGTGAACATTCTGTTACTCTGAAGGTAACTGTAGGGTTTTGATCACGCGAGAAACGATATCCAATCGTTTCTATACACGAGAAATTCGCGGGGAGAAATTCTGAGAGCTGTAAACTCTCAACCGTTGGTGTAAATGTGCATTAGTTCTCGCGACAGCCGAATTTCAAACCTTGACATTTGGAACGGAGCGACGAAACCGATTCCTGTGCGTGGTTACTATCAATTTATACCGTATCACGTTAAAGTTCGTATTTCTTGACCCAGATCCTTGTTTCCACGTAGACGGCTTTAATTCCCTGGCGTTAGATGGAAACGCATTTCAATCGATTGTTGCGCTCACCGAGACGCTTTCACCGGGCTCTTTTGTTTGCTCTTCAGCCGTGTCTCCTCGCAAAACGAATATAATCTCGCTGTCGGCGGATAAAGAAATAATTGAACCCAATACCAGCGCCGTTGGCGCGTACAAAACAGGCGTCGAACTACTCAATGCCGAATAACGCGATTGTTTCGTTTCGTCGTGTCGGGAAACTCGAGCAGGTGTGTGGTGCAGCGCGCCATTGTACCGCAGAGGTGACTCGTTTAACGCTTTTGATGCTAAGGTTCGATCGTTTAACGCGTGTCGTACGCAAAGATTCTCTGGTTATAGTCATCGAGCACATTAGCTCAACGCTGAAACGCGTTCCTGCCACAGATCGTTACACAATACCCGAACAAATCTATCTGGCCAAATACTTTTCTCTTCAAACTTGCACACTAACATTTTTCTACAATTTTGAACAAAAATATGGAATCGTTTCCTTTCACTTCTTTATAACTACAAGTGATGATATTATTGCTTTTGATTCCTTTGATTTTCTTTCATATTTCGAACAATTAATGTTCTTCATTTTCTTTATCGAATGTCTTTATCTTCTTCAACAAAGATATTTTTTTTAAATATCTCGAGATCTAACAATTTTTTGACCATGGTACCCTAATCATTTTTTACGTAGAATGAACAAAAGAACCGATCTGTGTAAAAAAAAATATGCATTTCTATTTAAAGAAATGATGCAATTGTTAATTGCACATGCACTGCTGCGTCTAAAAAAAATTTAAAGGCCTACGGATGTAGTGCTCTTCGAACCATTTACCTTTCTCCTTTGGCATTTTTTCGTAAACGCGATAATAACGGAGTTATGACGTGAAACAATTGCGTGGACCACCCTGTATAATTTCCCCCTTGATGTTTCGTGTTTATTTACTTGTAACGTCAATTCACCTCAAACGTGCTCAATTTTATTTTTTGAATCATGTGGCCAAGCTGGTGCGTGAATAACTTCGGGACAGTTGTGCAGTAGCCATTTTCCTTCGTCATTAAAGAATAATGTTTTAATTTTTCGTGTGAACAATTATTAAAATTAGTAATTTTGTAAATATATATTACTCTGTAGAATGATAAGTTTTTCAAAGAAAAATTCCTATCCTGTTATCGTATCGTAGCAGCAGAACTAGAAATCGTTTGGTGAGCTAATTGCCATAGACTCGGAGGAACGGGAAAATAAAAAAAGGCCGGAGGCAACGATTGGAGGGTAAATATCGATCATAATTCTCGGTCGAGACGTAATCTCGGAATCACTAATCAATCGAAAATTTCCTTACGGAGCAGCAACTCGAACGTGGACGGAGAGATTATTCGATCGCGATCGCTGGACGGAACGAAACGGGACGCCATTGGTTCGAGGGTGGCGAGGTCCGACGGAAAATCGAGTTAACATCGAATCGAGTCGGATCAACCGCGTGGGTAGAAGGAAAAGTAACAGGAGCAGAGGGGAGAAACGGAAGCAAAGGCAGAAGGAAGGGGGTAGCTTGATCTCGAGGATAAAGGAGGAGGAAAAAGGAGAGGATATTAGGTTTGCGGAAGAGGCGGTTGGACGAGTGGTCGGGGTGGCTGGGTTTCGAGCGACCAACAAGCTAACCGTCTGCTGTCAGCCAATGCCTTCTTGAGCTGATACCTTGTTCGCGGTCTGAAGAAGCGACATGGCCGATCTCGAGAGGATTAGATTAGTGGTGCTGGGCGGTGCAGGTGTCGGTAAAAGCGCCATCATACGCAGACTGCTCGGCCAAGGATTCAACGAGAGATACAGGCCTACTGTCGAGGATCTCTACTCGAGGGAATGCGTTCTAGGCACGCTCACGTTGAAAGTCGACCTCCTGGACACCGCCGGTAAGCACAAATCTCCAACAAGCAAGTCTAAATCTCGAAAACGGTCGACATATGTAATTTTTATCATTTTTATACGTCGATGCATCTACACTATGCAACTGTGCAACGGTAAATGGTGATGCACAGAGTTATCAACGCGAAAGTTATACATATATTCTTGTACCAATTGATATTAGATGTAAACTCGTGTTTGAAACGAACACAGACACGAATCATTTAGTAAATTTTAATGTGGTGTAACTCTTGAACTATTAGATTCAGAGCATAGAAACCCGCAATCTCAAAATTATAGTTCCATTTAATGAAAGCATCCAGCTACATATGTTTTATATGCATTCATATACATATGTATACGATAAAAATGAATGAAATTGCATTCGCATCTTGTTGTGTCTTCAACCGTTTTAGGGATATAGATTTTCTTGAAAGCGTGGAACACCTTGTACATTAAAAAAAAAAATCACAGTTACTTAACAGTTACTTGAGAGGTAAAATGTGCCCTTGAACCAAATGTGACATACGATGGATACATCGATAGAGCATCAAGAAAAACCGTTCTGTGCCAAATTTTAACCCTCTATCTTGTTTGGAAGGGTAGTTATTGAGAAAATTCGAATTAACGAATTTCTGCCTATTTCCCCTATTTAATCGAGTACAAAAATTATGAAAAAAATCTGGTGCATTGTGGTTATTGAGATACGTGTTTGAGAATTTTGTCCGATTTTTCGATTCCAAATGTTAGGTGTGAAAAATTGAAAACGCAAAAAAACACAGAAAAATATGGATTTCGTATTGAAGCTTTCGAGACACTAGATTTCTATAATTACTGTAAATGCGTATTGTCATTGGTTATCTCCCTGAATTTTTTCAGATTTTTCGACTCCAAATCTTAGGTGTGAAAAATTGTAACGCAAAAAAACACAGAAAAATATGGATTTCGTATTGAAGCTTTCGAGACACTAGATTTCTATAATTACTGTAAATGCGTATTGTCATTGGTTATCTCCCTGAATTTTTTCAGATTTTTCGAATCCAAATCTTAGGTGTGAAAAATTGAAAACGCAAAAAAACACAGAAAAATATGGATTTCGTATTGAAGCTTTCGAGACACTAGATTTCTATAATTACTGTAAATGCGTATTGTCATTGGTTATCTCCCTGAATTTTTTCAGATTTTTCGATTCCAAATCCTAGGTATGAAAAATTGAAAACGCAAAAAAACACAGAAAAATATGGATTTCGTATTGAAGCTTTCGAGACACTAGATTTCTATAATTACTGTAAATGCGTATTGTCATTGGTTATCTCCCTGAATTTTTTCAGATTTTTCGACTCCAAATCTTAGGTGTGAAAAATTGAAAACGCAAAAAAACACAGAAAAATATGGATTTCGTATTGAAGCTTTCGAGACACTAGATTTCTATAATTACTGTAAATGCGTATTGTCATTGGTTATCTCCCTGAATTTTTTCAGATTTTTCGACTCCAAATCTTAGGTGTGAAAAATTGAAAACGCAAAAAAACACAGAAAAATATGGATTTCGTATTGAAGCTTTCGAGACACTAGATTTCTATAATTACTGTAAATGCGTATTGTCATTGGTTATCTCCCTGAATTTTTTCAGATTTTTCGACTCCAAATCTTAGGTGTGAAAAATTGAAAACGCAAAAAAACACAGAAAAATATGGATTTCGTATTGAAGCTTTCGAGACACTAGATTTCTATAATTACTGTAAATGCGTATTGTCATTGGTTATCTCCCTGAATTTTTTCAGATTTTTTGGTAGGGTGCGCCGTAGTAGCAAAAATGAAAAACCGATTTTTTCGACGTTTTTCGCGTGACAAAGCATCTTATACTTTGAATTTTTGTATTCTCTTTAATAGATAACTATATTGTATGGTTTTAAACATTTCTATGTTGAGCAGAACAGTGTATACAAGAAGAAAAGCAAAAATAAGTGCTTTGCGTGATATATTGAGAAGTATCTACGGTATTTTCAAGAGCTGCGATGGTGCAGTAAGTAAAGATGCTTGAGTTTGAGACTGCTGCAATCTTTTTGACGCGCGTTCGCGCCCTGCTAAAGTACATTTTTTTTATTCTATTAATTTTGTTTTTTTTCAATTTCTAACTAAACTACAGTGAAAAACTATTTGTTTATTAATATTTAAAAAATATTATCACCTAAAATATACGCTCATATTCTTTTTATTTGAAGAATCTTCTTGCAGTAGGTACTGAAGTTTTTGGACGAAATTAAACAATTTCCAATCATACTAAAAAAATTATATTTAGTTACAAGGATCGATTACAAGCATTTTAGGTGAATAGACATATCCCCGAAATCCTACGCGCTTTCGAGAAAATAATTCTTTAACGAAAATCTAATGTGAGGCTTCCTTGCATGCGAATCTTTAAAATGTCATAACTTCTGAACGTATTGAAGGATTTTAATGTTTGAAGCGGCAAATAACGCGTATTTTGGTGAAGAATATGCAGGCATTATAACAATAGTGAAAAAGTTGTTCCTTAATCCCGTAAAGTTAGAAAAACCCCATAAAAATGGTCCAATTTTCAAACGGCCATAACTCCTACAATAGCGAACATATTTCAATGAAAATTTTTTCTAAAGTAGAGCTCATCGGTGCCTATAAAAAAGTATTAGACATTTTTTCTGTAGAGCGTGAAACAAATTTATTAAAAATGAAAAACAATTTTTTAAGAAAAATCAACCAAGGGGGGTGTCTAAATTTTTCGACGAAAAAAAAATTTCAAATCGTTCTGAAAAAATTATTTCTAGCTAAGGGGGTCAATTACAATTATTTTTGGTGAATAGACATACCCCCGAAATCCTTCACAGTTTCGAAAAAAAATTCAAATAAATATATCGCGCATAGCACTTTTTTTTTCGTGACTTATTTTTGCTTTTCTTCTTGTATACACTGTTCTGCTCAACATAGAAATGTTTAAACCCATACAATATAGTTATCTATTAAAGAGAATACAAAAATTCAAAGTATAAGATGCTTTTTCACGCGAAAAACGTCGAAAAAATCGGTTTTTCATTTTTCCTACTACGGCGCACCCTAGCAAAAAATCTGAAACAATTCATGGAGATAACCAATGACAATACGCATTTACAGTAATTATAGGAATCTAGTGTATCGAAAGCTTCAATACGAAATCCGTATTTTTCTGTGTTTTTTTGCGTTTTCAATTTTTCACGCCTAGGATTTGGAATCGAAAAATCGGAAAAAATTCTCAAACACGTATCTCAATAACCACAATGCACCAGATTTTTTTCATAATTTTTGTATTCGATTAAATAGGGCAAATAGGCAGAAATTCGTTAATCCGAATTTTCTCAATAACTACCCTTCCAAACAAGATAGAGGGTTAAAATTTGGCACAGAACGTTTTTTCTTGATGCTCTATCGATGGATCCATCGTATGTCACATTTGGTTCAAGGGCACATTTGACCCCCTTATTCAGCTATACCCTTTATATTCGACTTATAAATGAGAAGTTTTCATTTTGTTCAACGTTTTACGAAATTACGTGTACGGTTTCAGGCGATTTGCAGTTTCCAGCTATGAGGAGATTAAGCATAGCCACTGCTCACGCGTTTCTCCTCGTCTACGCTACAACCTCGTTACCGAGCTTCGAGTGCGTGAAGCAATGCTTTGAAGAAGTTAGGGAACAACGGCCCGATTTTCAGGTTCAGTATTGCACAGACAGATAAAACGATTTCTACCTGTATGTACGAAAAAGAAACTATTCCCTCTCGAATATAGGATGAACCGAGGTGAAAAATAACAGCCGACGAAAGCGAGGGATCATAATTTCTTGACAATTTTCACTATTCCGCAGAAATCTGTGATACGGTTGACTTTCCAATTTAATAAAATTTTCAAGAAACAAAGTTAAATTACTCGTTAGCTATTAAGTTTTGGGGCTAATACGCATCAACGCTTTTTTACTCAGAATTTGATATTCTTCCATATTTTTTATACAGAAAATATAGTATTAAATATAATTCTACAATATTTCGAATGCACAACAAATATTTATTTTACTAATTTCTCCACCAAGTTCAATCGTTTGTTAGAAATTTGTAAAAATGAGAACTTCGCTCAGTGCCGGTTCTGGGGTAAGTGCCAAGAGGTCAAGCTTAGTCCTCTTACCAGAAGGCACCCTTGCCTTCCCCACTCCGTGGCCAGATCCTCAAGGAACAGAGTTCCTATTCTTTAAAGCAAGACAACGTCGGGTCGCTTGCCTTTTTCTAACATACCTACGTTTCCTTTCAATAAGCAATCCTATGACGCCCGATAGCTGCGTGACTTCGAGTCACCAGCCATCGACAGGCATCTGGATTGCATCCCTGCAACCCTCCCTCTTGGGCCACACGCAGGCTATGTCCCTATCATAAATCGTTCGGAAACGAAATATCGTCGAGCTAATGCCCTCGACGTCCCTTAAAAATAAGTCGTCGCTAACACGTTGTTAAACTAAAAACAATATTTGACGTTTCTTTATTATATTTCGAGAAATGATTAAAAGAAAAAAAAAATTGTAATGTTATTGAGAATATGTGTATTAAATTTGCTCGAGCACAAAGCGTGCCTGAGAGGTGCTGATTCTCGAACAATGGTCAATCGTTTATCGTACAATACTGTTTTATTCCCCTTCGAAAAATCTTCTTTCCACGAAGGGTGGCTATGGATTCTGGCTAAAGTTGTCGATTTCCATCTACCCACTGTCTCTTTCGAGTAATATTCTCCTACTTGAATAATTTTTCACCCCAGTAATCAGTTTGTATAAAACAATTAAATTCTATTCATAGGCAGAATAAAAATAGCGACAGGCTTCGCGTTTCCCTTGTTTTTCTTTGATAAACTGTGTGAAACTGAGCTACACCCAGCTTGATAACTTCACCTAATTTGTCCAGGTAGATTAGAATTTAGCTCCGCCTAGGACTTTGGTTTACATTGAAAACTGGTATCTTCGGATCGAAACTTGGCAATCTAATTTTGCACTGTATGTTTTGCTACTACACTCTCACCGATAATTACACATATTCTTGTTGCAATAGCAATTGCACTATTATCGGAAACTCGGACAACACTACGTGTTGCTTTCACTTGGTAATTTCGGTAGCACAAAAAATCATACTAGTAGGTACTTTTGATCTATGCTTACTGACTGCTGTTTTTAGTTTACTGTTGAACTCTCTAAACAAAGGTGGACGACTACTGGAGCCGGCTACGGGCCATGGATCGAGCCATGTTACAATATGTTTCGGAACCATTCGATAGAATTCTACAAAAAAATTGTACGTTACTTAAATTATAAGAGTTAGGGTCCCTGATTTCTAGGAGTAATAGCTTAATCGCTACGCCACGGTACACGAAACTTATTACATCTCTCTTTTGTTAACCACTGTTCAATTTTAATATTAAATAACAATGCCATTTCCCGCGAAACTGAAAGTATATCATCATTCTATTAAATTTTCTTTTGATTTATGTGCAAACCAGAAATACGATTATATTGATAAATGTAACAAAAATAAATGTGTGCTTGGATCGCTTTATTAATTAATATAGAAAATAAACTTTTTAAAGAAAACTAAATAAAATTTTACTATAATTAATTTCTGTTTTCTTAATATTCCAAAGATTGATATCCACATAAAAACTAATAAGAATGTACGCAGACAAGTTTAGCGGGAATAAAACGAAGGTCAAAGCTCTCAAAGATTAACTGAAATTGGCAAAAAATTGACTGTTCATCAGTTTTCCTTCGGAACGCGTCAACTACATGCATATTAACACGTTGACTGCCACATCAAAACCGTACAACTTTTTACGAGACCAAAACTTGGATTTTAAACAACTGTAAACTGCATAACTTAACATTTGTCTGGTACTTATTTTCGTAACCACGTTAAACCTCGTCCTATATAAATTTATTTAACATTTCAATTTTCAATTTTAGAATAAATTGTTTTAATTCCATAGTAGGAAAATTTTGTCACCCATACATATATGGGTGACGTGGCAGTCAATGTGTTAAATTAATGGTAGCGAAAGAAGCAAGCAGCGTATCGTTTCTGATCGTTCCTCGTGGTCGTCGTCCGACAGGAAGTGCCGATCGTCGTCGCCGGAAACAAGTTGGACCTCGCGGCGACGCGACGAGAGGTGCCCATCGAGGATGTCAGCGAGTGGCTATTTTGCAAATTACCGAAGCTTCGCGCGAAGGTGATGGAGTGCTCCGCCAAAGACGATTACAACATCAAAGACGTGTTCCGATGTTTCGTCACGCTGTCCAGAATCGTACAGAAGAACAATACCGGCGAGACGGACGAATCGGGGCTGAGACGAAGGTGTTCCGCGTACGGATCGCGCAGGTATTTCATTCTTCCGCCATTTTCTTACGTACCTTCATTTTCATAAACTTTAATCGGTCGGAAAAATTTCAGTCCCAAGTTCCGCGCACGCGCAACTTTCTTAATTAGAATCTATTGTACGGCACACCGTAACTGAAAACACACAATTCTCGACAATGCAACCCGATACTTTACATCCGCAGTACGTAGCGTGTTACAACGTGCTCTAATATGCAACAGCTATCGCGAACACGAACGCAATTTTAATGTCCGGTTAAAAATCGATTCCTGCTTCCCTCGAGTTAAATTGCGTTTCGACGTTGCAACTGTTTCGGAGGAATTTACGCGAAAATTAATTTACCCGGCTTAAATGAAGTTTAGCGATTAACAAAACAAAAGAGAAAAACGAAAAAATCAATTGTTTCGAGACGTTAAAAACAATAGGCGAAAGTACTAATGATAAAAATCTAACGATTAAAGTGATATTGTCAGTCAGATTTTAGTTTTACGAATGGTGGAGACACTTGCCACCAGAGGGCTACGCTCGAGTGACCCTTTCGTTCCTATAATACGCTCCCCGGCTGACTATTAACACGTTCACTGCCAGATCAAAACCGTGTAATAGTCTGCAAAAGTGAAATGTTGATTTTATACCATTGTAAGCTACATAACCTAAAATTTGTTTCAGCAGTTATTATCGTAACCTTGTTGGAATTCATAAATTCTATTCAAACTTATTTCCCTCGACGTCTTAATTTTTCTAGTATCATAATGGTGAATCCTATCACCCCACATATGAGTGACGTAAGTGTTTTAATACTGCTAGGATTTCGTCTTACTTGATGTAGAGGATGATGGCCCGGTGAATTTTTGGGCAAGGAATAAAAAAATAAAGGGGAAACCATGCCACCACAACAGAGAGAAAAAAGGGGGGTCGGTAAAATACGTTGTAATAGGGTTGTGTTCTTATCTCGTTTACCATTCCTCTCCTCCACCTAGCAAGTGCTAAACTAATTTACAAAAATGTTGTGCAATTTTAGTAGAAAAGAAGAATGAAAATGTAATTGTTTGCATAAAACAGTGACTGGATTTCAGGCAAGTGTATTAACAAAAAACGATGTCGAATGCCGCAGGTCTGGCAGCCCACACGGCAGAACAGGGAGCGCCGGTGGACACGGTGGAAATTCGCAGCAAACAGTGGCGGCGCAAGGTTCGAACGTGGTCGCAGTCACCGAGGAGACGAAAATCAAACCGCGCAGCCGCAGCTTGATCAGACGCGCCTCGCGGAAAACGAAGCAGCAAATCAGAGATTCTCATACGGACGACTGCAACATCTCGTAATTTAATCAACGCACCCTCCACTCTCCACCGCCCGCCTTCTAACCCCCTCTGTGTGTCGACAACTGATAATAAAATCGATAAGATCGAACACGCTCGACTCGACGCGTGCGAAACGATTGTCCACGCCGACGCGACTCGACGCGATTCAATCCACTTAGGAGACGATGATACGGAAAACAGATGATTATCATCCCACAAGAAATCGTGCAACCACGTTCCCGTGGCTCCGTAAACTGTTAAAAAATTGCTCACGAAAACGCTCCTATACGATTAAGGGTCTCGTCATTAAAACTCGAAATTCGAATACGTTTGCTGCCCCTTTTCTTTCGATCAAATCGGTCTGCCGGATATCACGCGGAGTGATTTGAAAAGAAACTTGTCCTCGAAACTGTGGTCAAATGGATGTTCTGTTATTACATATGTATGTACATAGCTGCCGGCCACTCGAAATGACGATCGCTCAAGCTTGAGAAATCTAAACAGCAGCGAAGCTGATTCGCTACCACTGTATTCCCAACATTGATCAATTAGCGGAACGAGACGGTATTGTACATAGCAATCACTATGAGAAGGTATAAAACGATGGTCGGAACGAAATATGTAATTCCTGTTCCGTTCCGTTCCATTCGATTTTCGCAAATATTTGTTTCAATAAAACACCGGCTCGGGCGAGTTTTCGCAAACATGAAAATATGTATTTGTATCTCGGCAAATATGCACACGTATCGTATACGTATGTATGTATGTATGTATGTATTGCGTGTAGGTAAGGTCAAGTTATATGTAGTTACGAGAAACGTTAATGAAACGGCAATCTGTCCGGAACACGCAGCGTTTCATTGTTGTTACGCTGGTCCAGGGATGAAGGACCTTTTGGAAAGCTACAGTTGTTCGTGAAACTATACGAACGACTGACAATGAAATAACAAATGAACAAATGGAATTTCCACGTTCGATTCACGTTTGCAAAATAAAGACACAACTCGAGTATACGTACATGCTAAGGTTAACTATACTCTTATAGTTTTTTTTCCTCTTTTGTTCACGGACCACAAAGACAAGACAAAACCGTTAAAAACTTCTAAATGCTATGTTTTGAGAAATCACGACTTTTAATTTTTATTTAGTAGAAGGAACACTGTTTGAGAATTTTTATAACATTTAAACAGAAACGGTACATAAGTAAGAATAGCTTTGAAACGCAGCGTTGCACGTCAGTGCCCGCCAGGGATGGGCAGAATTTACTTAAAATACTATTTCAATTACGAATAAATTACTAATTCGAATATAAAATACACAGATAACTTGTGGCTTTCTAATACATACATACATACACATATTAGCGTTTTATATTCAATAGTTTGGCAAGAACTAGAAAATACTTTATTTCATTTCAGTATTCTATTCAGTTTCGTTCGGGTAACGAATAATTAATGCACAACTAAATGAAAAACTTTATAATAATATTGTAGCAGAGGTTACAGATTTTAAACAACCAACGACACATACGTTTTAAGGTTACGTTTATTTATATATAACATGGATCATTTTCATACACGATACTCTCAACTGCGTTCGGCTATATAGAAAAACAAAAGACTACGCGCGCGCGCCTGCCAAGGAAGGAAAAGGGAAATCCCTCCAACACATGCATGTTTGCCAACATTCCCAACAAATATAAATTCTTTATGAATTTTTGTCAAGTTTCTCGTAAACTTTATATTTTATCACTATCAAATGCAACGTGTCAAATTGTTCGTCGTTTGTTACAATTACTGAATACGTATGTTCATATATTATACGTACAATGTACTTCGATAACAAATCGTTCAAAAGTGCTCATCCCTGGTACAAACGTTGCACACCGTACAAAGAAAAGAAACTGTCGGTTGATATTATGGTGTCTGGATGAAGGCGAACCGCATATCAATTTTTATAATTCCATACACGATTTAATTAAATCTATTTTTCGATACGTCTTTTGTACGTGTATAAGCTTACAAACGGCGTAGATGCATTTACAGGCGAAACTACGCGAACGCGATTCTCGTTTCACCGCTAGATCGATGCACGAAATTAAATTTTCGAGAGAATCTCTGCAACGTCTACGGACGCGTATTTATTCGTCGAGATCGAAGCGGCGAGATCAACGCGAGTCGTGTAAAAATGTTTCTGAGCTTGATAGATCGAACGGAAGCAAGAGATTTATAAATCGCGCGTAATATTGTTTTCTTTAAGTATTAATCGATCCACGAACGAATAAATACTATCATTAAAGTTTATGGAATAGAGCAGTGGATTCCAAATTCTTTGGGCGACGTCCTTCTAAAAGACAGAACATTTCTGTATCCGTAACAAGTGATAGACTTTCAAATAATATAAGAAAAGTATAATTCAACGATTAAACTTCAGTAACTCACACGTTGACTGTCATGGCGGCCACTAGTGACTGACGCCTCGAACCTACGTATTTTCAATAAATCTTAACACATGTAAATGTTTAAATAATGTCATTGAGACACTAAGAATATTAAAAAATAGTAAAGAAATGTCCCTACATAGGGAAATCTGGCATGCCAGTCAACGTGTTAATATATTAATCGAAAAAATGTTTACGTGTTCTAGGTTATAAAGGGTATAGCCGAATAAGGGGGTCAAATATGCCCTTGAACCAAATGTGACATACGATGACATCGATAGAGCATCAAGAAAAAACGTTCTGTGCCAAATTTTAACCCTCTATCTTGTTTGGAAGGGTAGTTATTGAGAAATTTCGGATTAACAAAATTGTGCTTATTTCCTCTATTTAATCAAGTACAAAAATTATGAAAAAAATCTGGTGCATTGTGGTTATTGAGATACGTGTTTGAGAATTTTTTCCGATTTTTCGATTCCAAATCCTAGCTGTGAAAAATTGAAAACGCAAAAAAACACAGAAAAATACGGATTTCGTATTGAAGCTTTCGAGACACTAGATTTCTATAATTACTGTAAATGCGTATTGTCATTGGTTATCTCCCTGAATTTTTTCAGATTTTTTGGTAGGGTGCGCCGTAGTAGGAAAAATGAAAAACCGATTTTTTCGACGTTTTTCGCGTGAAAAAGCATCTTATAATTTGAATTTTTGTATTCTCTTTAATAGACAACTATATTGTATGGGTTTAAACATTTCTATGTTGAGCAGAACAGTGTATACAAGAAGAAAAGCAAAAATAAGTCACGAAAAAAAAGTGCTATGCGCGATATATTGAGAAGTATCAACGGTATTTTCAAGAGCTACGATGGTGCAGTAAGTAAGATGCTTGAGTTTGAGACTGCTGCGAACTTTTTGACGCGCATTCGCGCCCTGCTAAAGTACATTTTTTTTATTATATTAATTTTGTTTTTTTTTCAATGTCTAACCAAACGACAGTGAAAAACTTATTTGTTTATTAATATTTAAAAAATATTTTCACCTAAAATATACGCTCATATTCTTTTTATTGAAGAATCTTCTTGCAGTAGGTACTGAAATTTTTGGACGAAATTAAACAATTTCCAATCATACTAAAAAAATTATATTTAATTACAAGGATCGATTACAAGCATTTTAGGTGAATAGACATATCCCCGAAATCCTACGCGCTTTCGAGAAAATAATTCTTTACCGAAAATCTAATGTGAGGCTTCCTTGCATGAGAAATCTTTAAAATGTCATAACTTCTGAACGTATTGAAGGATTTTAATGTTTGAAGCGGCAAATAACGCGTATTTTTGTGAAGAATATGTAGGCATTATAACAATAGTGAAAAAGTTGTTCCTTAATCCCGTAAAGTTAGAAAAACCCCATAAAAATGGTCCAATTTTCAAACGGTCATAACTCCTACAATAGTGAACATATTTCAATGAAAATTTTTTCTAAAGTAGAGCTCATCGGTGCCTATAAAAAAGTATTAGACATTTTTTCTGTAGAGCGTGAAACAAATTTATTAAAAATGAAAAACAATTTTTTAAGAAAAATCAACCAAGGGGTAGGTGTCTAAATTTTTCGACGAAAAAAAAATTTCAAATCGTTCTGAAAAAATTATTTCTAGCTAAGGGGGTCAATTACAATTATTTTTGGTGAATAGACATACCCCCGAAATCCTACACAGTTTCGAAAAAAAATTCAAATAAATATATCGCGCATAGCACTTTTTTTTCGTGACTTATTTTTGCTTTTCTTCTTGTACACACTGTTCTGCTCAACATAGAAATGTTTAAAACAATACAATATAGTTACCTATTAAAGAGAATACAAAAATTCAAAGTATGAGATGCTTTTTCACGCGAAAAACGTCGAAAAAATCGGTTTTTCATTTTTGCTACTACGGCGCACCCTACCAAAAAATCGGAAAAAATTCAGGGAGATAACCAATGACAATACGCATTTACAGTAATTATAGGAATCTAGTGTCTCGAAAGCTTCAATACGAAATCCGTATTTTTCTGTGTTTTTTTGCGTTTTCAATTTTTCACACCTAGGATTTGGAATCGAAAAATCTGAAAAAATTCATGGAGATAACCAATGACAATACGCATTTACAGTAATTATAGGAATCTAGTGTCTCGAAAGCTTCAATACGAAATCCGTATTTTTCTGTGTTTTTTTGCGTTTTCAATTTTTCACACCTAGGATTTGGAATCGAAAAATCTGAAAAAATTCATGGAGATAACCAATGACAATACGCATTTACAGTAATTATAGGAATCTAGTGTCTCGAAAGCTTCAATACGAAATCCGTATTTTTCTGTGTTTTTTTGCGTTTTCAATTTTTCACACCTAGGATTTGGAATCGAAAAATCTGAAAAAATTCATGGAGATAACCAATGACAATACGCATTTACAGTAATTATAGGAATCTAGTGTCTCGAAAGCTTCAATACGAAATCCGCATTTTTCTGTGTTTTTTTGCGTTTTCAATTTTTCACACCTAGGATTTGGAATCGAAAAATCTGAAAAAATTCATGGAGATAACCAATGACAATACGCATTTACAGTAATTATATAAATCTAGTGTCTCGAAAGCTTCAATACGAAATCCGTATTTTTCTATGTTTTTTTTGCGTTTTCAATTTTTCACACCTAGGATTTGAAATCGAAAAATCGTACAAAATTCTCAAACACGTATCTCGATAATCACAATGCACCAGATTTTTTTCATAATTTTTGTACTCGATTAAATAGGGGAAATAGGCAGAAATTCGTTGATCCGAATTTTCTCAATAACTACCCTTCCAAACAAGATAGAGGGTTAAAATTTGGCACAGAACGTTTTTTCTTGATGCTCTATCGATGGATCCATCGTATGTCACATTTGGTTCAAGGGCGCATTTGACCGCCTTATTCGGCTATACCCTTTTGCCCATGCCCATCATTTTGGAGAACACTGCATCATAGGATTAACTCTTCACTCCTTCCCAAGTGTTTTTAAAGTTCAGGCTCTTCCAACGTTACTTCTCTCTCGACACACAAACGATTATCGAAACTATTCATTTTTCTTGTCGTTTCGCGCAGCTTCGAGTAAGCTTTTGAACCAAATCAACGATCGTTTGTTCGATCTTGGTGAACATAAAGTGCAAAATCGATCGAATGTGTCTCGACGAATATCCTGTCCGTCCTCTTCTACGCGTTACGTCGTTGGTCCCATCAAGCGAATCGGAGTTTCATCGATCAAATCTTAGTATCGAGATTAATTACATTTTCTGAGCCAATAATATCCATGAAACGTTCGCATATCCGATAGGAAGTGTATTTCATGCATCTCCAGTTTGGTTATTCGAGCATACTCAGAAAAAAAGCTAAAATTATCGAAAAGAAACGTCTTATGTACTAAATTCCGATTCCGAGTCGCTAAAAATCCGAGTAACGACGATTGCCGCTAGGAGATATAATACATATACATACGCGTGCACATCATACACACACCAGACCAATTTTAATAAATATTTTGTGACTGTCTGTTTGTCTAAACTGTAAGCACCAAGTAATTATCTATACCCTGTAAGGATAGGACGATTTTTCATCGACTTGAAGAACGTACGTAAATTCATTCCTCTTGCTGAATAATTCGTAATGCGCTGAGAAGGGTAGAAGAAATACAAGAAAAACCAGAAAAACAAAAAAAAACATATTTTTATTACCGAAAACTGAATTCTTGTTTCTTCCTGTTTTAATCTAGCATACATATACTATTATCGTACGCGAATATATCGACGTGCCCGTTATTTGTTTGTATGCATGTATGTATAGTATCGTATTTCGTATCAACGTGTCACTGTGGCTACGTAATAATTCCAATCGCGAAATGGCTGCCGGTGCGCGACTACGGAAGCAAATTATACAAATAAATGCGCCGTTAAACGAATTATGGCTAGTTGCGGTCGATACCATGAAATTCCGTAAATTGTACACATAGATACAACCAATTATAAAAGAAATTGTGACCAATATCCTTCTTTGACGTATTCTGCGAATGGTAACGCGAGGAAGGAGCAAAGAAATTTCAAAAAACGACTAGCCAACGTCCCTGCTTCTTCTGTATTATAAATTTGAAATATATTATTGTTTGTTGTTTCCGTTGCTGTTATTATTGTTTCACATTTACAAGTAAACATCGCGCAACAAAATCAGGAAAAAGAACTTGTACGTAATATTTCACGAAGAGATCGTTGTAACGTTAGAATTTGTGTCCGAATTGCATCCATTGTCCGTTCCATGGAACAAATACTTGAAATGTTGAACGTAAGGCTGACAGTGTTCTCCTTTCGAGAAAGCTGTCGTGTTGTGTAATCGCACGTTGCGTTGTTCGAAAAATTTGAAAACCGAATGAAACAACGTCGCATCTTCGGTTGCCTTTGCTGCTTCTAAGAATTTTCGAGCGGAAACTTGATCTACCATTCCAACTGATCGGACATATCTGAAAGGGAAACATACGATACGGATGTGTGACATGATAATTCCTGTCATTCTTCTAAATAAAGTATCCCCTCTGAAGTGTTACATTTACTAACCTCTTAATTAAAGGAATCACAGATTATTTACAGATTATTTACACAAAAATTCAGACCTTTTTAGGTTATGACGAGTACGAGGACTATCATAAGTTGCGAAAAAGGAACCAAGAAAAAAATTTTATTGCTAAAAAAATAATGCAAAACTGTTTCAGTGAATCTTCACAAGTTTAACAAAGGGTATAGCCGAATAAGGGGGTCAAATGTGCCCTTGAACCAAATGTGACATACGATGGATCCATCGATAGAGCATCAAGAAAAAACGTTCTGTGCCAAATTTTAACCCTCTATCTTGTTTGGAAGGGTAGTTATTGAGAAAATTCGGATCAACGAACTTCTGCCTATTTCCCCGATTTAATCGAGTACAAAAATTATGAAAAAAATCTGGTGCATTGTGGTTATTGAGATACGTGTTTGAGAATTTTTTCCGATTTTTCGATTCCAAATGTTAGGTGTGAAAAATTGAAAACGCAAAAAAAATATAGAAAAATACGGATTTCGTATTGAAGCTTTCGAGACACTAGATTCCTATAATTACTGTAAATGCGTATTGTAATTGGTTATCACCCTGAATTTTTTCCGATTTTTCGATTACAAATCCTGGATGTGAAAAATTGAAAACGCAAAAAAATACAGAAAAATACGGATTTCGTATTGAAGCTTTCGAAACACCAGATTCCTATTGTTGGAAATGCGGCCAATGTCGGCATTGTTGGCGCGCCTGTAGCCGGTAATGGCGAGGGGTTTCCCCGTTTAACGAGGGCACCACGTAGTCGATCGATGAGGGCGCCACCATAACGCAAGCGGATGCGCCACCTTGATTTTGGGAGTTCGTCTTGCGACGCGTAAGAGAATGCATCGAAATACAGTTTTACTTTTCCCGGCCATGTGGCGGCGTGTAGTATTTCATAACTTCTAATACCTATAATTACTGTAAATGCGTATTGTCATTGGTTATCTCCATGAATTGTTTCAGATTTTTTGGTAGGGTGCGCCGTAGTAGCAAAAATGAAAAACCGATTTTTTCGACGTTTTTCGCGTGAAAAAGCATCTTATACTTTGAATTTTTGTATTCTCTTTAATAGATAACTATATTGTATGGTTTTAAACATTTCTATGTTGAGCAGGACAGTGTATACAAGAAGAAAAGCAAAAATAAGTCACGAAAAAAAAAGTGCTATGCGCGATATATTTATTTGAATTTTTTTTCGAAACTGTGTAGGATTTTGGGGGTATGTCTATTCACCAAAAATAATTGTAATTGACCCCCTTAGCTAGAAATAATTTTTTCAGAACGATTTGAAATTTTTTTTTCGTCGAAAAATTTAGACACCTACCCCTTGGTTGATTTTTCTTAAAAAATTGTTTTCCATTTTTAATAAATTTGTTTCACGCTCTACAGAAAAAATGTCTAATACTTTTTTATAGGCACCGATGAGCTCTACTTTAGAAAAAATTTTCATTGAAATATGTTCACTATTGTAGGAGTTATGGCCGTTTGAAAATTGGACAATTTTTATGGGGTTTTTCTAACTTTACGGGATTAAGGAACAACTTTTTCACTATTGTTATAATGCCTACATATTCTTCATCAAAATACGCGTTATTTGCCGCTTCAAACATTAAAATCCTTCAATACGTTCAGATGTTATGACATTTTAAAGATTCGCATGCAAGGAAGCCTCACATTAGATTTTCGGTAAAGAATTATTTTCTCGAAAGCGCGTAGGATTTCGGGGATATGTCTATTCACCTAAAATGCTTGTAATCGATCCTTGTAACTAAATATAATTTTTTTAGTATGATTGGAAATTGTTTAATTTCGTCCAAAAATTTCAGTACCTACTGCAAGAAGATTCTTCAATAAAAAGAATATGAGCGTATATTTTAGATGAAAATATTTTTTAAATATTAATAAACAAATAGTTTTTCACTGTCGTTTGGTTAGACATTGAAAAAAAAACAAAATTAATATAATAAAAAAAATGTACTTTAGCAGGGCGCGAATGCGCGTCAAAAAGTTTGCAGCAGTCTCAAACTCAAGCATCTTACTTACTGCACCATCGTAGCTCTTGAAAATACCGTTGATACTTCTCAATATATCGCGCATAGTACTTTTTTTTCGTGACTTATTTTTGCTTTTCTTCTTGTATACACTGTTCTGCTCAACATAGAAATGTTTAAAACCATACAATATAGTTATCTACTAAAGAGAATACAATAATTCAAAGCATAAGATGCTTTTTCACGCGAAAAACGACGAAAAAATCGGTTTTTCATTTTTCCTACTACGGCGCACCCTACCAAAAAATCTGAAAAAATTCAGGGAGATAACCAATGACAATACGCATTTACAGTAATTATATAAATCTAGTGTCTCGAAAGCTTCAATACGAAATCCGTATTTTTCTGTGTTTTTTTGCGTTTTCAATTTTTCACACCTAGGATTTGGAATCGAAAAATCGGAAAAAATTCAGGGAGATAACCAATGACAATACGCATTTACAGTAATTATATAAATCTAGTGTCTCGAAAGCTTCAATACGAAATCCGTATTTTTCTGTGTTTTTTTGCGTTTTCAATTTTTCACACCTAGGATTTGGAATCGAAAAATCGGAAAAAATTCAGGGAGATAACCAATGACAATACGTATTTACAGTAATTATATAAATCTAGTGTCTCGAAAGCTTCAATACGAAATCCGTATTTTTCTATGTTTTTTTTGCGTTTTCAATTTTTCACACCTAGGATTTGGAATCGAAAAATCGGAAAAAATTCAGGGAGATAACCAATGACAATACGCATTTACAGTAATTATATAAATCTAGTGTCTCGAAAGCTTCAATACGAAATCCGTATTTTTCTATGTTTTTTTTTGCGTTTTCAATTTTTCACACCTAGGATTTGGAATCGAAAAATCGGAAAAAATTCAGGGAGATAACCAATGACAATACGCATTTACAGTAATTATATAAATCTAGTGTCTCGAAAGCTTCAATACGAAATCCGTATTTTTCTGTGTTTTTTTTGCGTTTTCAATTTTTCACACCTAGGATTTGGAATCGAAAAATCGGAAAAAATTCAGGGAGATAACCAATGACAATACGCATTTACAGTAATTATAGAAATCTAGTGTCTCGAAAGCTTCAATACGAAATCCGTATTTTTCTGTGTTTTTTTGCGTTTTCAATTTTTCACACCTAGGATTTGGAATCGAAAAATCGGAAAAAATTCAGGGAGATAACCAATGACAATACGCATTTACAGTAATTATATAAATCTAGTGTCTCGAAAGCTTCAATACGAAATCCGTATTTTTCTGTGTTTTTTTTGCGTTTTCAATTTTTCACACCTAGGATTTGGAATCGAAAAATCGGAAAAAATTCAGGGAGATAACCAATGACAATACGCATTTACAGTAATTATAGAAATCTAGTGTCTCGAAAGCTTCAATACGAAATCCGTATTTTTCTGTGTTTTTTTGCGTTTTCAATTTTTCACACCTAGGATTTGGAATCGAAAAATCGGAAAAAATTCAGGGAGATAACCAATGACAATACGTATTTACAGTAATTATAGAAATCTAGTGTCTCGAAAGCTTCAATACGAAATCCGTATTTTTCTATGTTTTTTTTGCGTTTTCAATTTTTCACACCTAGGATTTGGAATCGAAAAATCGGAAAAAATTCAGGGAGATAACCAATGACAATACGCATTTACAGTAATTATATAAATCTAGTGTCTCGAAAGCTTCAATACGAAATCCGTATTTTTCTGTGTTTTTTTTTGCGTTTTCAATTTTTCACACCTAGGATTTGGAATCGAAAAATCGGAAAAAATTCAGGGAGATAACCAATGACAATACGCATTTACAGTAATTATAGAAATCTAGTGTCTCGAAAGCTTCAATACGAAATCCGTATTTTTCTGTGTTTTTTTGCGTTTTCAATTTTTCACACCTAGGATTTGGAATCGAAAAATCGGAAAAAATTCAGGGAGATAACCAATGACAATACGCATTTACAGTAATTATATAAATCTAGTGTCTCGAAAGCTTCAATACGAAATCCGTATTTTTCTGTGTTTTTTTTGCGTTTTCAATTTTTCACACCTAGGATTTGGAATCGAAAAATCGGAAAAAATTCAGGGAGATAACCAATGACAATACGCATTTACAGTAATTATAGAAATCTAGTGTCTCGAAAGCTTCAATACGAAATCCGTATTTTTCTGTGTTTTTTTGCGTTTTCAATTTTTCACACCTAGGATTTGGAATCGAAAAATCGGAAAAAATTCAGGGAGATAACCAATGACAATACGTATTTACAGTAATTATAGAAATCTAGTGTCTCGAAAGCTTCAATACGAAATCCGTATTTTTCTATGTTTTTTTTGCGTTTTCAATTTTTCACACCTAGGATTTGGAATCGAAAAATCGGAAAAAATTCTCAAACACGTATCTCGATAACCACAATGCACCAGATTTTTTTCATAATTTTTGTACTCGATTATATAGGGGAAATGGGCAGAAATTCGTTAATCCGAATTTTCTCAATAACTACCCTTCCAAACAAGATAGAGGGTTAAAATTTGGCACAGAACGTTTTTTCTTGATGCTCTATCGATGGATCCATCGTATGTCACATTTGGTTCAAGGGCACATTTGACCCACTTATTCGGCTATACCCTTAGAAGATAGTTTTTGGCACTTCAAAGGAGACATGCTGTATACAGTGGTGGAGAAATTCGGACACCATTTTCCATGCACGCGTGTAACGGAACTTACCGCAACGCTGGCAGAATATGACCCTTCGAGAGGAGGACTTCGATTATTTCTTCGTGAGCATTCCCTAATCGTTTCAGCATATCCAAAGCAAGCTGATGGGCAGCTGGATACAGATTCTCCAAAGAAAGTAACAGACACGCTAGAGGTTTCGAATCGGCGACCACATGATATTGCAGTAACTGATGAAGCTGGTAATACGCTTTACGTTGCACCAATGTCGTGATGATTAACTCGTGCAAATAATGTTGCACAGGTATTCCATGTTCCGCCAATGATCTAAAACGAACGTTAAAGCACGAAACTGAATGTTACTTTCATCCAATACGGGTAAAATCTCGGATCGATAAATACCTGATATATTCGAGGAGAACCCATACGATCATTTTCGGTTCGATTGTATTCTCGGAAAATTTCGATAGTATATGACTATACGTGTCGCTTTGATCGAGCAAGAGCTTATACTTGTAATTTTCTACCACGGTGCCAACGTTTTTCACATTACTTTGTAATGGGGTACCCATCTGAGCGAAATAAAATAAATAACATAGGCACAAGTTACAAGGTAACAACACGGCAAAATCAACAAACACAAAAATAAACACGTCACCTGACTTTGTATTTCGCTCTCCAAGTAACTTCTGTACACAGAATTAATCTTGTTGAATATGGTTGGCATGTCCATTAAACTAACAGGTAGCTGCATCATGAAATTTTGCAGCACCTGTATTAAAACTTGTTTCGCATTTGTTCGCTGTATCAAAAATTCGACCAACAACACTTTGTCCGTGATAAGCTTTATCAATGCTTCCAACTTCAGTTCAACATACCTGATCGACAAACGTAATCGGATAAGTTTACAGCGTTCCTGTTTTTATTTCATTTTCCCCTTTCTTCTCTTTCAATTATAGTACCTTACACTGTCGCAAGATATGGTATTTTAGTAGACCTACCTACCATAGGCAACCCAACTTGACATCTATAACAATGTTTGGCTGAAAAACTACCCAATTTGGTGAATCTGTAAAACATTGAGGAAAAGCTTGCACGAACGTACGAAATGTTCAACAGAGATATCGATCACTTAAGGATACATAATTGACAAGGCTGATACGTGTGCTCCGATAATGTCGCGCCCGGAACTTTCAAATTATACGGTTTTATCGATTTTGCCGGTACCACGCTGGTATGGTGCATCACAGTGCCATCGCTCACGCCTTGTAACATAATATCGAAAACCATTGAAGTCTGAAACATTATTCGGTTTAAAATAATGGGTGGTTCGAACTGGCGATTTTACAGTTTCAAAACTCTCTGTTGTTTACTCACTTTCGAAGCTTGATGATGAACGATAATTAGATTATCTACAACATTAATAGCGAATCTACCACTGACGTCGAGTTTCAGAATATGACTTCTTTTGATAGTTGTCATCCTATTTAAAGAGTATATGAAAAGATATTCGGGAGTATTGAATCGGTTAATACTGCAAGGGATATACATACTTATAAACAGTATATACATATACAGAAGTGGTCCCTGTTGAACGACTAGCGCCCGGCTGATGACGCAATAAAATAATACAGGGTGTTCCGTACAGAACAGTCAAAGCTACATCTCTTTCGGAAACCGCCAATTTGCCTGGTTTCGTCGTACCAGGTTCCACTGAAGCAATTTTATCATGATGCAACGTATACTTTCCCAGTACGTTGACGATTGCTAATAACTAGTATGCTGAACTTTTTACATCTTACTTTCAAATTTCGTTAACTTATGAAGATTCCCTGGTGTTATATGTAACGACTGCATTTGATTTCCTGCTGTACCAGATGATAACAGTACCAACTGACTTTGTGGACAATACACAAACCAATTTACACCCAAACTTAAACATTTTATAGCTCTGACGCTTCGTTTCTCTGGATTCACCTAAAATAATCAAGCAGTGACTATACATAGCCATGAAAATCAAGCCATAAACGTAATAGTTTATGTTCGTACTTGGAACAACTCGACTCCATAATCTGTAACAAACAGTATTTCATTTCCATGCGTCCAAACAAATCCCAATATAGTGGCGTTTTTTCCTTTACACGGTTGCGAATATTCTATGTTATCCAATCCAACGACAGGTGAATAATTAACAAATTCGACAGAAATATTCGTACGTTGTATTGCGAGTACATTCATATCGGGTGAAAATTTGATGGAAATAACTGGACCCTTGTCTTCCATTTGAAAATTTATACTTTGATTCGGTCCTTTAACTAATACACCTGCAACACCTGCCGAGCGAACAGCAAATACCTAAATGCATTCAATTGTTAGTCTTTTTCCGATCATTAAATCTACAGATCAAATATAAAGTGTGCGCGAATGAATGACCTAACCTGTTGTTTCGAGTCGTCGAAAAAGACATTGGTAAGACAGCTGACCGACTCGAACTTGATCGGGTCGGAGGATAATTCCAAATAATAGTCATCCTTTTCGTCTTCACTAGCAGTTGCCATGTCTCGCCGTTAATCACGTTCAGTCTTTACTAGTTATTAAATATTATCGAATACTTCATAGATTTCCATAAACAGATTCAGCTATCTTTGACGGACAATGTTGACAAGCAGTGATGCCAGAAAAGCACCGTCGGGTGCACACTCACACATGCCAGATACGCGTACGTGAGCTCGTGGAGTTTCGGAAAGACGACAAAGGCAAACTGACGCATGCCCTCTTTCTCGATTCTCCGAAGCTGCCCGAAGTAACTTCGGTTCGCCTCGTGGGAGTCGAGAGAGAAAGGCTCACATTTGCCTTCTCGCTCTAAACAACTGAAATCCGACCTCCCGTCAACGGCATACGATTTGGATTCTCGACTGCCCAGGCATTTTTACTTTCCGACCTATGTAGGCGCAGATAAGCAAAGTACCCATAATGAAAAAAAACACCTCGTAAATAAAAAATAGGTAATTATATATATTACATGGTCCCACTCTTCTATGGCATTATTACCAATGCTAAAAATTGTAAGATTGCATAGACTATCTATGCCTTCTATTTTGCTAATTTCATTATTATATAAGAGCAATATTTCCAACTTTATCAAATTGTTTAAATTCTCCATTATTTTAATATGATTAAAAGAAAGATCTAATTCTCTTAAATGAACAAGGGTATCTAGATTTTCTATTGTTTCTATTATGTTATTAGATAACTTTAATTTAATAAGATTTGGCATCACCCAAAGATGATCAATTTTTAAAATATCTAAAACGAGAAATGTAAACTAGTAGATTTAGTAATGTGAACTCAATTATATAATTATTCGTATTACATACTAAGAAATTCAATTCGAATTTCCTTTGTTTCGTTCAAATCAATTCCATCCTCGAAAAAAAGTTTCCCAGCTTCTCCCTTTGGTCCTTGATCGATTACCAAATTTACAAGCATATTTTGATTTATTGTACGGGGTTGCACAAATTCTTGAAGTATAGTAGGAACATCTTCAGGAAAGAGCATTTTTAAATATTTTCTGTAACTCACATACGCTAAATCGATCAAAATATTAACTAATTTACGGAACTTTACATCGCAAACGAGGTATACAATTTTTACACGTTTGATTAGTTGCCGCGCAACGAGTTTGTTAATTCCTGTCACATCAGAGATGCCAGAAAAGCACCCTCGGGTGCCCTACTCACACATGCCAGATACGCGTACGTGAGCTCGTGGAGTTTCGGAAAGACGACAAAGGCAAACTGACGCATGCCCTCTTTCTCGATTCTCCGAAGCTGCCCGAAGTAACTTCGGTTCGCCTCGTGGGAGTCGAGAGAGAAAGGCTCACATTTGCCTTCTCGCTCTTAACAACTGAAATCCGACCTCCCGTCAACGGCATACGATTTGGATTCTCGACTGCCCAGGCATTTTTACTTTCCGACCTATGTAGGCGCAGATAAGCAAAGTACCCATAATGAAAAAAAAATTTTGTAAACTTTATTTTACGGAAATACACGTTTTAAGATCCCCTGATCATATTTTAATTATTGAAAAAAAAGAAATTTTTTTTATTAGTCCCATGTATGAGCGCACATATGTATATTATTAATACGATTTTTGAAAAATCAAAATACTTTAAGATTGAAAATTAATAAATTAAAATGAGATTCCACTCTTTACCAGTATTGTGCACGCTGTGGCATTTTTCAATAAGAAGAGTTCTTACTTTTGTAACATAAACAAAACAGTAGAATTAATAATAGCAGAAATTAATTAATAATGATTTTCCTCGATTGTTTTGAGATAACCGTATCAATCTGTTATGACGAACTAAATAGAATTAACTGGAAACAAAAGAAAGGTGATCCCGTTTGCCAGTTTAATACAAAGTATGGGTTGGATCTTAAATTTTAAAAGGACATAGTCGAATATTTTTAAAGGTACAAAACATAGCGTTTCATTTTAGAACAGTAACATGAGTTAGCAGGCAATGTCATAAAACTGTTTTACCCAGTTATATCCCTTTGTACCTGAAGCACAGACGAGGTGTAGGAGTCATATACGTCGTCTGTGGTGAAAGCAAAGAAACATATGAATAGATCTTTCACCTTATGGACTTTCGCGGCCGAATCTGACTGCCACACCGACCTGAAAATTCGGAGGTGATTTTAGCGGCCTCTTCTCATGGATGGCGGTCAGTTGAGAAACTAGGCACTGAATTAGGATTGATGGGCAGCCAGCTGTAGTGTGTGCGTAAATACATGTGAGTTGACTATGGGAGGGATTGAAAAAGACAGTGCAGTATTATCAGACGGCAGACCCGTGCCCAAAGGGAGCTGCACCACCGCATACACACACTAATGCCAACCACCTTGTATATGAGTTCTGGCGTTTCGTATAGCTTCGTGGATTCGAGAAAGGCGGCGAATGTGAGTCTATCCTTCTTGCTCTCAACACAGCTGAAATTCGATCACGCATAATCTCGAGCCGAGATTTTCGACTGCCCAGGCATTTTTTACTTTCCGACCTATGTAGGCGTATATAAGCAAAAACCATAATGAAACAAAAATTTCAAAAATTTTTTACAAAAAGAACCATCCAGATTCATGTACTTTGTACATTGAAAATAACATATGTTAAATGTAATTGGTTAAATTCAACTTAAAAAAAAAAATATTCGAAGGTCAGACAAAAATATAATGTCACATTTAGTGTACGATTAAAATATGATTGAAAAAATAAAAAAATAGGATTTGTTTTTGCAGGGTTCGAGAACCTGCAGAGCAGAAGAAGCTCGGAACTTGCAGGCAAACACCTTATCATTCACGCCACGCTGATTAGTGGTGAACATAGTTCTATTTCTGAAGATAAGTACCTGTAATAACTTTAATAATATCTCAAAGTAAAACCTAACCCAAAATCGGGTACCATTCCATCCAACTTTTCCTCGTTAGAACCGAGTTTTCAATTTGTCTTAGCGAAAATCGCAATCACATTTTGCACATTATTCTAAAACATTTGTGGTATTCGTTTTCAATGCGATTTAAGTAAGCATGTAATGTATAAGATTTCATTTAATTTTTTCTTTTCTAGAGAAGATAGAGAAAAAGTTTATATAATTTTATTTACATAAAATTTAATTCGTCCTAAGATTTATATGAAACATTTAAAAGATTTTTTATACATTATGCCTATATATCGGAACAACTATGAAACAAGAGGTACAATCATTATTATCCATGGACTGATTATAGTCAAAGTCTAACCGGACTTTGAAATGAGAATATAAAACTTAAATGTAAAGTTTCATTTAAATTCATTCAGCTATCTATACTCAATCGTATTAATAATATACATATGTGCGCTCATACATGGGACTAATAAAAAAAATTTCTTTTTTTTCAATAATTAAAATATGATCAGGGGGTCTTAAAACGTGTATTTCCGTAAAATAAATTTTACAAAATTTTTTTTTCATTATGGGTACTTTGCTTATGTGCGCCTACATAGGTCGAAAAGTAAAAATGCCTGGGCAGTCGAGAATCCAAATCGTATGCCGTTGACCGGGAGGTCGGATTTCAGTTGTTAAGAGCGAGAAGGCAAATGTGAGCCTTTCTCTCTCGACTCCCACGAAGCGGTCCGAAGTTACTTCGGGCAGCTTCGGAGAATCGAGAAAGAGGGCATGCGTCAGTTTGCCTTTGTCGTCTTTCCGAAACTCCACGAGCTCACGTACGCGTATCTGGCATGTGTGAGTAGGGCACCCGAGGGTGCTTTTCTGGCATCTCTGATGTGACAGGAATTAACAAACTCGTTGCGCGGCAACTAATCAAACGTGTAAAAATTGTATACCTCGTTTGCGATGTAAAGTTCCGTAAATTAGTTAATATTTTGATCGATTTAGCGTATGTGAGTTACAGAAAATATTTAAAAATGCTCTTTCCTGAAGATGTTCCTACTATACTTCAAGAATTTGTGCAACCCCGTACAATAAATCAAAATATGCTTGTAAATTTGGTAATCGATCAAGGACCAAAGGGAGAAGCTGGGAAACTTTTTTTCGAGGATGGAATTGATTTGAACGAAACAAAGGAAATTCGAATTGAATTTCTTAGTATGTAATACGAATAATTATATAATTGAGTTCACATTACTAAATCTACTAGTTTACATTTCTCGTTTTAGATATTTTAAAAATTGATCATCTTTGGGTGATGCCAAATCTTATTAAATTAAAGTTATCTAATAACATAATAGAAACAATAGAAAATCTAGATACCCTTGTTCATTTAAGAGAATTAGATCTTTCTTTTAATCATATTAAAATAATGGAGAATTTAAACAATTTGATAAAGTTGGAAATATTGCTCTTATATAATAATGAAATTAGCAAAATAGAAGGCATAGATAGTCTATGCAATCTTACAATTTTTAGCATTGGTAATAATGCCATAGAAGAGTGGGACCATGTAATATATATAATTACCTATTTTTTATTTACGAGGTGTGGCTATTAAATAACACCTCGTATAATTAAATCTGCACATATACGTATATATTTGAAATTATTTTAGGTATTATATTTAAGAAAATTCAGTAGGCTACGAAGTTTAAACATGAATGGAAATCCATGTACTAAGGAAAATGGATACTTGGATTATGTATTTGCATTTATACCTCAATTAACTTATTATCAATATAAAATAATAACCAACGAAGAACGAAAAACAGCTATAGAAAAGCATTAGTAATTATAAAATTATAAATAATGTATGTACAAACAATCTCTATATATTTTTTCAAGTGTATTGGTTTCTTATTTAGTCGCGCCTTAAATATTCTGGAAGAAACGGAAGCTAAAGAAAAAGAAAAATTAAATGCTCAGGAAGAATACGAAGAAAAATTAGCTTTTCTTACTAGTGCATATATGGAATATCTTGATGAAGATTACCTTTTTGAACAAATGTTCGCAGACGATGAAGGTTTATAAGTTTTATTTTCATCCGTTAAAATTACAGTGCAGGTAGAAAAAATATAACGTAATTTAATCACATCGATTTTATATTTAGAGGGAATAAAGTTATCTATGGTAAACGAAGAAACACAAAATGCTTATAAGGAATATAAAGAATGTTTTTCATTAATATGCCAAGAGTTTTGTGAAATAGGTTTAAAAGAACATGAAAAACGAACGAACGAAATAAATTTGTTCAAGAATGCTGTTAACGAAGGTAAACAGGCTTCGCTGAATCAAGGCAGGAAGTAAGTAATATAATATGTAATGTATATAAAAAGTAATACTTACAATTTCATTAACACATTGGTACTGATTTTTTTGCCATTTTTTATCACAGTATTGTAAATGACATATTGCAAAAAAAGACTGAAATTTTAACGAGCGTTAAAAATTTGCTACAAAAATTAGTCGGTGACGTAAGTAATGCAGTGCTTGAAGAAATAACTCAAAAAGTACAACAATTTTCCGACGATTTTAACGATATGATAACCGATGGTTGGACAAACCTAATGTCCCTTGAAATGGAGCTACACGAACAGTTAGAAGTATGTTTTAAAACAGGAAATTGTGTACAAAAAAAGTTAATAAATTAAAATATTAATGAGTAATATGTGTGACGAAGGATATAAATGAAGTATTCCGATTTAATATTTCTGACATGGTGGATTCCTTTTTAACAAACATACGGGGATATTTCTCACAATTACGAAATCGCGAAGCAGAATATAATGACACTATTAATGGATTAATTTTGTATTATCTCAGTGGTTTTGGAGATGATTCAAAAGTACCAAAACATCTGATAAATTTATGTGGCGATAAAGATACTTTAACTGTAAGTCTTGCTAACTCCCATGAAAAACATTTACAAGTAAGTATATATAATTTTTCAATTTTCCAAGTAATTAATGAAATTAATTACAGGTAATAGATGCTCGAGAAGATAAAATGTTAAATCGATTAAAGAATTGGCTCGAAGAATATACAGAACAATTTGCAAAGTAAGTTATTTAAACTATCATATTAAGTTCGGTATAAAAATCAATTTAATTTTATAGAGAGGAGAATGAACGAAACAATGAGCAAATATTAGAAATATCACATTTTGCGGATTCACAGCAGAAGGAATTTTCTTCGTTAGAACTACTGCAACAATTAAATTTAAATATTCATGATTCGGAGATCATTCAAGCTTTGGACAATTAAAATTTTATAGAATTTATTGATACAAATAATATAAAAGTGAGTATTTTAACAGTTACATTTATGTATTGTTTATCGAATAACTATAATATAAAATATTATAATTTTTAAACATGCGTATAAAAATATTAAATTTAAAAATATACATTTTAAAAATATAACATTTTAAAAGATTTTTATCACTTCTTTTTTAAAGATTCTAAGTATAATTTAAGGCCTACTTGTACCGATGGTGCCTGAATAACTGTCAAAAATTCATTAATATCAGCTTCTTTATTTTTTCTTAACCAATCCAAATGATTACTGCGTAATCCCAGTTTTGTTGTACTTCGACCTAAAGCTTTATTAACATTTTAAAAGGTAAACTTTGCATGTTCATTCGTATTTTTAAATAATTAGTCAATAGTGAACTTACCAGGTATATTTTTGTAACTTTTTATATACCCTTCACACTTTTTGATCATATCTGTTTTACTAGCAGCCAATTCATCTACAAGTCCAATTTCCAATGCTTTTTCCGGATGAAACATAGATCCTCTAAATTAATATATTTAAATCGTTGAAAATATTATTGTTAAAATAAAAAGTTTTATTAAATATTTACTAATAATGAATTACTGTAAGAGTGCTAATTCAGCTTTTCGATATCCTATTGTATTGGCAAAAACTTTTTTAAACCATGCTGGAGCTACAATCCCTAGCTTTGTTTCATTTAATCCGATAGAATAATTTCCTTCCATGAAAACTCTATATTCGCAAGAAATTGCTAATAAGCAACCTCCAGCAGGACAGACGCCCTTTATAAATAAAATTACATCATAAATATTCATGTACTTGATAGAACATTACCCATAGCTATGTAATTAATTTGCTAATAATACATTAATAGCAGCAGTTATTGGTATTTCCAAGCCATATAAAGTCAACCACGTGTCCTGCAACATCTGCCAAAACTCGATCAGTTGTTCTTCGGTTCGATTATACATCTCCATTATATCCATTCCCGCGGAGAATATATTTGGTACCGAAGATGTTAATATAACACCTTTACAGTGTTTTTTTTTAACATCCATTAAGGATGTGTTCAAGGCACTCAGTAGTTCTTTATTTAAACTGTTTACAGGAGGACGTGCCATCGATAGTATACTAATACCTGTGAAATAAAAATTTTTATACAAAAAGCAAGAACCGTAATGTTAAAAGCTAGAACATTTACCTGTGCTTTCATCGTGCGTTACTTCAACGAGTTTCGAATTTGTTACATACGTTTTATATGGGGGGAACCGTATGCGTCCAAAAAGTCGTTTTTGATTTATAACTTGATGGACGATTTTCATTGCGAGGTTCATTTTATACAATGTAATTATTATTTTACAAAAACTTGTATTTTTCGATTATATTACGTAATAATAAAAACAAAATAGTTCTAAGTAGTTCACTGTAGATATATTTCTGATTTTATACAATATCGTACTACATTTGTTATCGTTTTCGGCACGTGTACATAAGAAATTTTTTTTTATTTTTTTTTAGAACAAATACATCTAACCTTTCCGTTGATATAGGGAATACAGATAAAAAATGTGTTTGTTATTTTTTCACTTGCATGACCGAGCAAGTATTAAGATATCGGAGAGGAATGTAACGTTACTCGTGCTTTAAGATTAGTTATCTTATAATAAAATCTTTATTATTACAAAATGGGTATATAAAAAGCAATATTAATACAACGAACAAATTACAAATCTTATTTTATTATCTCGTCTACTGTCATTACTACCGCAATGAAAATGATATTGTCAAAAATACACTCGCGGCGGTACAATTACTTGTGATAATGGAACGGACCGGAATGGAATAGAATGGTTCGCGGGCAGGTGCTAATATGGCGGCTATTCTGCTTTATAGTTTCGTGACATCGCCCTTTACCTTAACATTTTTTTAAGCAAGACGTAATAGTTCGGTCACTTGGTGACAGAAAAAACAATGTCTTAAATGGGTTCGGTTATGTTTGAGAAATAACGACAACTAGCAAAATGTCAACCAGATCGCAACTTACGAAAGATTTAAACGGTTTGTCTTTATCTGAATGTTTACGTTCGTATCACGGAACTGTCATACATCGAGAACATATATCATTTATCCATTTAAATGATCACATTATTTTTAATATTCGTTTAAATTTTAATAGCTATTCCTTATATTTCACAAATATGCAAATCGAATTATCACGCAATTTTATAAATATTTCTGTTACTTTTCAACATTTTATATTACGCTACATTCGATGCATTCGTTTATAAATTATTTATTCTTTGTAGAATCGGTAAAAGCATTACTTGGTAAGCATGTCAAGATATTACTAAAAAACGTTGTAAAATTGGAAACAAAGCAGGATAAACAAGAAAATCGTGTTCTGGTGAGTAATAATTGAAATATCAGAAACTAGTATAGACACAAATGAATTATTTAAAATAGTATTTTAACGTGACATTATGTTTTTGTAATTTAAGGTTTTTTCACCATGCCGTCTCTTTCTTTTAACGGCCAAAGTACCTACAAGGGTAAGACTAAAGGATTACTTTATCATTATGGATAAAAATGTATTATTATTATCTTATTAATTATGTATTAATTTGCAGCTCGACTGCCATTTTCATTATTTAGAAATAACATCTATAGAATCCAAAAGAGCAAATCAGTTATCTTTAACTGTCGGAGAAAGATATTACAATTTTACTACTACAGGAGCAGGTGCAGATACTGCAGAAGTAGATGCAATGATCGAGGCCTTACATACTGCGATTCGAAATATCTTTCCCACTGTACCGTTAAAGTACATGTTTACTTCTCGGATATACATTTACTTCTTTTTACCATAAAGTTGAAATAGTCGATATTAATATTGTAATCCTTTCCACAGTTATATTATAAGAAAAATAGAAGTAATACCAGCTAGTAGATTGCAGAGCATAAGAGGTAGCGAGTTAGCTAGAAGTACAGAAGCGACAAGACACACAGGACCCTGTGGTGGGTTCTCGACCCAATATGCATGCATGTGCGATTTACATGGTGTACCGTATAGAGAAGAAGTCGCTTGGGTAATATTCGTAAAACACGTGAAAAAGGAAATACACTCGGATCAACGAGATCAGTCAGCGAATAAAAACAAAGTGTTCGATGTGATTTGCTGCCAAACGACACTTATGAGTTACATTCAAGGACGTTTGTTTTTGTTCGCTGACTCGTCTCGTTGTTACTGGAATTGTTTTTGAAAACAATATTAATTTTCAGGATGTCGATACAATATACCTCTCTCACGACACAAGGGAATTAAATTTAAGAGATTTTGATCATTTGGATCAAAAAGATTTGGTGCCAATCATTTCTGCCTTGGAATATAACACTTGGTTTACAAAGCTGAGAGCATCTCATCTTAAATTAAGTCACGAACCTTTGGAAAGATTGTTACATGTTATGCGCAGATCTCTTTCTATCCAGGAACTTTATTTAGATAATCTTGGAATCAAGTGGTAAAAGCCAATGAACGCATGAATTTTTTAAACGTAACATTAATGAACAAAAATATTTAAAGAAACGTTCATTTTAGGGATTTTGCGCACAAACTATCGTTAGCTCTAATTTCTAATGCTAATACAATGTTGCAAACTATCGATTTATCGTATAATACCATTGAAGACAAAGGTAAGTGACGATTACCGAGATCTCTATTGTATAATCATTGTGCTCCTCCTCGGTAGATCCATTAAAATATTTTCGTTTTTTCTTTCTTTCGACTGTTTTGAAATCACTTAACATATTCCTGTACAAATTTTTTTTTATATTTTTGTAGGAGCCTCTAGTTTGTGTGGAACAATTGCCAAGTTAATGCAAGGTGTGCAAATAACCATTACTATTTCTAATAGTTACTATTAGTGCCTTTCATTTATATTGTTCCTTATCCTTTTATATTTAAACACATAATCCTACATTTAGATATTCCACTACTATATATATATATATAATATTGTATGTTATATTGTGCTTAATTTAATATGAATCTGAATTATGATATATATATATGTTTCAATTAATAGCATCATTTACGGTAATATTATTTTTAAGGAGGTGCACATTTAAGCGGACCTATTGGGAAACTACCTAAAGGTTTACAAAAATTAAATTTTGCACATTGTGGACTAACAGGAAAAGGAATAAGTCAAATTGCACATGCACTAAGTTTAAATAGAAGCATGCCAACTAGTTTACAATATTTAAATCTTTCAGAAAACTCTTTAAAAGATGACATCAACGTAAGTGCGTTACGTGAGAATGAAAAATTTAATTCGCGATAATTTAATAGAAGTAATAAATTTGCACGAACTGTTTATAACATAATTATTATTCGATTACAGAATTTGTGCAATTTTCTAGCACAACCTAATAGCCTAACTCATTTAGATCTAAGTGGTACAGATACTACACTGGAATGTGTAAGTATTTAACTTTATATGTAAAAAATTTCAATTCATGTATCTTCATATTTTGCATTTATTTTATTCAGCTGTTTGGTGCTTTACTACGGGGTTGTGCAACTAATCTAGTCCATTTAAATGTTGCCCGCAACTCTTTTTCAAGCAAAAAGACCAAAGAAATACCTCCCAGCTTTAAGCAGTTTTTTACAGCTACACTTTCGTTGAAGTACTTAAATATATCTTGCTGCAAATTACCACTGGAAGCATTAAAACATTTATTACTCGGCTTGGCGTGCAACGAAAGCACAGTTGGTTTAGAACTTGATATGAGCGGGAACAATTTGGGTTCCATGGGTGCTCATGTGCTGGAGTCGTGTATACACGGTGTACGTTGTATAGCATCGTTGGATATTTCAGACAGCAGTACGTACGTTTTACAATAGAAGAGGGATCATTTCTGTGAAATTATTCATTTCCATCTTCCGTTTATGTTTCTTTATAGACATGGATGTTGATCTAGCACAAGTTATAACTGCTGTAGGAAAAAACAAATCTATAAAACAATTATATATGGGTCGTAACACTGTTAGTATGAAAAGCAAACATATTGCTATTGTAATGGATGCCCTTGTACAAATGCTTCAAGAAGATGACTGCGTTCTTCAAGCATTACATTTACCAGATTCTCGATTAAAGTCTGATCTCTACAATCTTATTAACGCTCTTGGTAGTAATACATGTCTTCACACTATAGATATTAGTGGTAATCAGATTGGAGATCCCGGTGCAAGATTATTAGCAAAAGCGCTACAAATTAACAACCATTTGAGGACCATTATTTATGATAGAAATAACATTACACTTCAAGGTTATGCGGACATTGTTCACGCTTTAGAAAAGTATGTTTATTTCTTTTTTCTATTCATAATGTAATTGTATGTGAACTGTTTTTATAACGCTTTAATATAGAAATTGTAGCGTGAGACATATGCCATTTCCAATTTATGATCTACAACCTTGTATGAAAACTTCTGCCGAGAAAACGGAACAATTAGCAAAAAAAATGCAAGATTTGCTTCAGAGAAATGTTACGCCTTGCAAATATAGTCATGGACAGGCCTTCAGACTGCAACAAGGTTTTTTATTAAGCTCTACGCAACAAATGGTCGACAGGCTTGTTGTGCAAACTCAAGATACTATTAAAGCTATTGCGGCAGAAAGTTGCGATGCTAACAATGATATTAATTATGCAACTGGACTTATACAAGATGCAGATAATTCAAAGCAGGTACGAGTAAACGAATGTAAACAAACTGAGAATGTAACTTTATCAAAGTATTATTTTTAGCTTTTACCAAGATTGCATGAAGTTCTTCAACGACGGGATGAAAATAACCCGATTGAGTTAAAATTACACGATATGGCAAATGAACTTCATAAAGTCGTGACTGTATATTTACAGGTATGTGTTTTATATATTTTGTATACATGACGATTGGTGCTACTTGTTGAAACATGGTAATAAATTCAAAATCTTGAATACAGGATTCCTTAGATGCTATGGTGAAATGTGCAAACGAGCAATGCCCTACCATACTTTCACAAACGGTGATTAAAGGAGATGAAAGTGAATCAATAGCTGTTGAAGACGATCTACGTAATAGTTGCAAAGAAAAAAATCAAATCAGCAGCGAATTTATACATACTACTATTACAGAACAAGCTGGAGCAGATATAGTCAATAGAGTCAAGTATGGATAAAAATCACTAATGATAATAACATTTACTTATTTATATATATATCTTTGCTTTAAATATTTAAAATTTTCTTTTTATAGTGAATTGAATTTAGCTGTCGCTGCACATGTGTCTGATAGAATAACAGATGAAGTAATTGAATCATTATCAAGGAGTTATAAGAATTTAGTATGTATGATAAACAGTAAAATAACCGTTTAAATAACACAGAAATTTTCCAATTTGTATATTAATATTCTTAGATCGGTGACTGCGATAATAGAACAAGAAGCAGCACACCAGATGTATTACGGCCTAGTGCTGGTTCGATGAGCAGTGGAAGTGTTATAGGTGTTACGAGTACAGTAGGTGTATCTACAACATTACCCATCGGTAGAACCAGCCTTGCTTCGGAAGAAGATTGCCCACCAGAAACTTACTCATTAGTAAATTCTATTAGTCAATGTTCTAGCGACCAATCTCCAATGGTAAGTAAACATAACTTTCTTATACAAATATTTGTGTCTTATAATAGTAGTTACTATGGTAACTATGATACCATGCTTTCATGTCTGTCTAGAAATTGGATTACTTGAATCTTGTAAGTACAGTTAAAAAGAAAGTTCATTTATCGTTTTAGTTTCTTAAACAACTAATTCAATATATTGTTGTATATACGTGCATGATATAGTAAGCGTACGTATATGTATAATTTTTGCATTTAGGCTACCCCGCATCTGTCAAATAAACGTAAAAGTTTACACGGAAGAAAATTGCGACCTAAATCTGTAGTTGATTCCGTTGAAGGACTTTCTGCGGATGACATACCTGATCTATTACCATCACTGCCAAAAAGTCAAGCAGAAGGTTAATATCTTTTTAACATATGTATACATTTATTATTTTGTAATTAATTATGAAGCTTTTTTCTTTAGCTATTTCAGAAACAGAACATTCATTAACAGAATCATTAGATTCTGTCTCTGAATTACCTAATACTGTGGGTCAACAACTGCAACATTTAGTGAAATCTAGACCTCGCAGAACAAAGACTAGGGCACCTACAAGACCAATGTTGAGACCCGATCAACCGGTGGATGGTCTAGCCCTTGGGGAAGGTCTCGATGTATTCTTTCGACCAACTACACCGACAACTCCTCTCATATCTCCAACAAGTGATGATAGGTATTAAGTTTAAAAACGTGGCTTATCTTCAAAAATAATTACGTGCAATAATTCATATTTTTTCAATTACACTGCAGCTCTTTACACACCTTCCCGACCGATGGTAGTCCAAATTTATCTCTTACAAGTCACAAAAGTATTCCACCTGACACGGATAAGAAACCTGGTTGCAGTTCTCCAATGTTAAAAACACTTCTTGAACCTGCACCACGATCACGATCCAGTGATAATTTGGAAAAATTTTCTCCTCTCGTCGGTAGGAGATCTCAAGGTGATTCACCATTAACTGCATCTCCATTAGCTCGACGGAATACAACTGATAATGCTCAAAATCATGAAAGAATTGTTGCGAAATCTGGTAGTAATAAAGATACAAGTAGTAATAGTATTGTCAGTACTTCTGCTGACACTTCTAAACGTAGCACATTACCAATTACTGGATCTGGTACAAATTCACGTAGTTTGCGGGATTCAGATGAAAATGTTAAAATGTTACAACTAACAACTGCTGCAAATTCTTTAGATAGGGATGTATCTCTTGCAACGTCTGTTCCTAAAGATTACGAAAGCAGAAAAAGTTTAACGAAAAAGTCTGCCATGGAAGTTGATAAATCTGCAAGTCAGCCTCTGCCTTCTCTTAAACTGAGGTCAACAGGTTTTGATCTTCGAAGTCCAACAAATGGCAGCAATACAAAGAGTAATTCGGAAGCATCAAAATCGCCAGTATTAAAACCTTTAACCAAAGGAAGCAGTTCCACTAATGATGGAAAAAGTAATGGTGTTCTTTCGAAAACTAAACTAACTCCACCTGCGACAGCTCCAAAACCAAGGCCTTGGAGTATGGCTACCGATAGAAAATCTGGTAAGTTTATAACACCTAAAAACAACAATTTTATAAAAATCTCTTACGTCATTATAATAATATACACATATTATGTACCAGTATCGTCTTTCCACGAGAAGAAGGCAGAGCGTGTAATACCTAAACAATAAAATACCTATGAGTCAGCAGACTGCGATAGGTGTGGGGATGTAAACACGCTGTGCCTTCTTCTCGTGGAAGCACGGTATGTGCCTCATTGTTGCAGCTTCATTATACAACATTTCGTTTAATTTTATAGGCGAATTTAATCTATTAAGCGATGGTTCTAGTCCAAATACTTCAGCAGGGAATACACCTGATTCTGGCGATGCTCTTGATGAATCGACAGATAGTGGCGTGAGTGGTCCAGCTTCATTACCACCAACGTTATCAGCAAGTAGTACTGCTAGTTCTTTAAGCAATACAAGTGTAGAAAAAAGGTCTGTCAGAGAATTAGCAGCTAGTTTAAACAAGAGTAAAACAGAAAGAAAAGAAAATGGTAAGGAAAATATTTGGCTTTTTTTCTTGCATGTTCAATGTATATAGTAACCTGGTACACACTGTTCGATTCACGCATCACTTTCGATTATGTATAAATTCCTTTTTAATTCCAAGTACATCGCAAATATGCATGTTGTACCCTTAAATTAAGAAGCCTTGCTGTACATATTATTTTAGAGCAAACCGTACCTGCAGCATGGAGGTCGGTGCTTCAACGTTCTATCAACCGTCCAGACGCCAAGGTATTTTATGTAATGTTTCTTTTCTGTTTTTCATTTTGTTGTTCAAATCAGTTAATAAAGAATCGAAAAGGTTGCAACATATCAAATTCCGTACCTGGGACAGTTTGTAAAAGCTTACAAAAAATTTGTTTGCGCTTGAAACCTATTAACATCAGTTAATTTTTGTTTCGTTCATGTAATATATCGTTAGCATAACACACGAAGAAATTGTTAGAAAATTATCGACGATGTAAAATATCTTTTTTTCCCCCCCCCCTTTTTTTTTTTAAGCATAATTCTACATGTGTAATTCGTTACGTTTTCAGGTAATGGAAGTGCCGAAAACGGTTGAAGAGAATCATATAAATTATAAACTTCGACGTACTTCATTTTTACGTGATTCAAATTTTAACTATAATAACGATGTAGTTGACGTTTGACCGTGACTTAAAGCAGTAGTAATTTGAAAATCAATGTTAATAATTGGTTATTCGTCAGGACAATTTTTGTCACAATATTTTATACCGGGCACAAAAATATGTAAAGCGATGCATTTGTACTTGTGCCATATAAAGTCAAATGCGGGGCAAGTGCTAACGATATTAGAGGCAGGGTACTGAAGGTCTCTATAGAAATTACTAACTTATTATTAAGGTGGCATTAAAAATCTTATTATACTTTTTCATAAAACTATACTTCTAATGCAGCTTATCTTAATTTACCGGTAAGTATCTGTATTTAATGTACTAAAATCGTCTCTTATTTCTGTTACAGTAAGTGAAAAAATTCACACTTCCACAGAGAATATATTTTATGCTTCTACATTCCTTCAGATTCTTGAAAATAGATTTGTTTGATATTTGCGACGATATTATCTGAATGATGGATCGCGTTATGTTTGTTTAAACATTTAAATATTTATATATTGTTTGTATGTACATTTAAAATAATAGACTGTCTAAAGTAGACCGTAAATTACATAATTTTAATTATTTTAAAAACATGCTGCTCTGTTATACGAAGATTAGCATAACTTTTACTTATTGCAATAAAAGAAAGATTTATTAAAATTGTTTAATCAAACTTGGAATGTCTTCCGAAATGAATTATCTTTTTTTTTTAAGTTTATAAAACCTATTTTGGTGTATTTCCAAAAGACAAAAAAAAAAAAAAAAACTGCAAGGAGCCTGTGATTATAAAAAATGCAAACTTTTATTTAAGCCATATTAGTTATTGTATGTAATTCTTTATACTTTGTTTTCACACGATGTTTATTAAATTATGTAATATTTTTTAAAACTACTTCTAAATGAATGTTTACCATTGGAATTGAATAATGCACAAAACCAAACGTTAAGAATCATTAAATGTATGCAGTGTGCCATATAATGTTATTATATAAATTAGCAAAGGTTTTTGTTTTCCATACGATAGGAACAATTTAAATAAAATTGTATAGGGCAAATATAATATTGTCAGCTACAAAGTTGCTGATTTATATGAATTTAGTAGTATAATATACAAAAATTATACAACGTATATACCACACTATCATATATATGATAGTATAAATGTTGAAACGGAAACTTTCAAAGGAGATAAATAGAAAGAAAATGTTATTGGCTATTATTGTATTTCAAGAATTTTTTTGCAACATTTGTAAGTTATATTTACTATTTTATACCTTCTTAAAAATATACGATAATTGAAAATAATTTACTAAAGTCTATCCGCTATGTATGTACTTTTTTAAAGGAAGCAGCTTTTTTACAAACAACATTTTGTATTATATAAGAATGTTTTGCTAAATATAAATGTAACACAATCCAACTTATATAAACATATGGAAAACTAGTTTTTTGATAGCAAAGAACCTATGTACATACACATGTATAAAAAATTATGCATAGGTAAATTATTGATGATTACTACTACAGTTCTTAAAGTCAAATAAGTATTTGAATATCAATTTAATTTGTAATTTTTATTAATTATGTCCTTTTGTATACAGATATTTAGAAACACGTGCTCGATGACGACGTTGCATGTTAAACTGAATATTTCTTTTTCTTAATATGATTAAAGAATTTTTAGGAAAATATAATTGTTGTACTCCTCTGTCGTACCTAAGTTGTGCCCAATACGCTAATCTTTATATTTAATCGTGTGAATCTTATATGTATACATTGAACATAAGATTTAACCATCGACTGTTTAAATGCATTTTTCCTTATAGAACTTAATCATACTAAACAAATAAACCGACGTAAATTAAAGTGGTAAAAGTTACATCAAATCGTATGCTGTACGAAATCAATTTAAGAAATGTTCATAGTAAAAATGATACAGCATCGCAGAAAGTAGTTAATCACGAAGTTACTTAATAATTCTATGATTAGAGTAAAGGTTACGAAACATACAATTTAATTATTCCGATGGTAAAATAGTACTTGTAAACGTGTATGGACTTGTACATTGGCATAAGTGCATACAATTAATGATCCGAATACATGTTACGTTGCAGGTGGTTTTTTCAAGTATAGAGCTGCAAATAAATCTATTATGTTTAAAAAAAAATGTATTATTATTATATGAAGTTATATATGTATAATGTAAAAAACGAAATTTAACCTATTGTGCCAAAAATGTAATCGATTTGTATATCCATAAAAAAAGTTCATTATATTTCAGTCTTAAGGCATTCATTGTATACATTTTAAGTTATATAACAATGAACATATATGCAATGATATTGTGAATTTAAATATAGAGTTTTCTTATATTATACATATATATATATATATATATATAAAATATATATTATAATATGATTATTTTATGTAATACCTTAATACTAATTACGACTCTGTACACTAAAAAGGATCACCTGTAATAGACAATATTTTAGTATGTAAATATATTGAATGTGTCTGCAGTATGTATGTACTAATGAATATATGATATAATATTTATATATATTCTTTCTTCAATACATTCCTGTATTTACATTTATATATACATATGTTGTACAATTAGACGTGTCTCAAAATCTGCTATTAATTTTGCTATGTATATATATCACTATCTACATAGTATGTTATTCAACACAAAAGAACATAGATTAGCATCAGTAATCACAGCAGATTTTGATACTTGGCTTTTTAACTATGCGATATAATTCACTAGTAAATAAAGACTCCTATTACATACATGACACTGATAGCTCTTTCTAATGTGTACGTCGATAACAGCCCTATAGTTTAATTTAAAAAAAATATAATAAATATGCATTATAATTAAATTTCATATTTTGTTTTATTAATATTTGTACGTGTTTCTTATACTGAAAGTTGCAAGTAACCATAACGATTAATTATTTAATCGAAAATTGGTATTCCTTATTACTAGACTGCGGATCATTATGCAAATTCACATTTTTATTAATAAAATTAATGAAACGGAAGCTTCGCAGAGGGCTGTCTCAACCCCTAAATATAATAATTCGTATCTTACTTTAAGTATCTCTTATATTTTTGCATATTAAATGCATTCTGTAGTTTCTTGAGGATTAAAATTTCCCATAAATGCATAAACATCCGCAGTCTACTTATTACATACAGCTAATCACGGCCAAATTCGTTCATTCGAAAGAAGAAGTTTGAGGACGATTTGGAATGAAAATAAGGCAGACATATATTGTAAATATATCTGTATTTATTGTGTAATAATGACAATATGTGGTGTACGATTTTGGCTGCGACTCGCTGTATATTTACGATATTACATTTTTTATTAGAATATATGTTATAAACTATGAGTATACTAATTGCTGTTTAAATTTAGAAAGCCGAGAAATTGAAAGAAAATAAGAAATTGATTAATGGCACATAATATGATAAAATTAATACGTTCATGAACATGTTTTTATCGATAATATTTTTATTTATAAACGTTAAGAATTAAAGGATATTAAAGTGTGCTTAATGTTCATTAAAATAATTGGGACGAAGTATCGTCGAATATCTAAAACTTAAAAATTTAGTGCGCGTGCGTGAAAAATTTTATGGAATCTGGATTCTGGCACGTTTCCATAATTCAAGAGTTGGGAGAAGTATTGTAGCGAAAGATTTGATTGAAGGGAATAAAGTGTGTGTGTGTGTACTCTTTTACGTAGGAAATGTTAATGAATTTTATTGTACAATTCATGTTGTTAAGTTGAGGAGGCGTAGAAATGTCGCGTTCAAAATCCGAAAAGATCGGAAACGGTGGTAAATGTGAATTAAGCGTTTGGACACGTGCGATAACAGCGAACTCCGAATGGCCGGATAAAGTAAACATAACCACACTTTAATTAATTAAATTTCTATTAATTTTCATGATTTCGTCTGTAAGTATGTTTATCTTTTATTATTACAGGAAGAATTCCTCGACGTTATATATTGGGCTAGACAAGCAATTGGAATTATAGTCGGTATAGGATGGGGCCTTATACCTTTGAAAGGTTTTATAGCTCTATTACTGTAAGTTCCAGGTGTAGTACTTTTACGCTTAAATATATTAATCACTATATAATTTCTAAAGGTGCAATTATACATTTCAAACTTTTAAGGAAGTTATATTTGTTATTTCAGTTTTGTATTAGTCAATGCGGGTGTTACATACCTGTACTTTAGCAACTTTCAACAAATTGACGAAGAGGAATTTGGCGGTGTATGGGAGTTAACCAAGGAAGGTTTTATGACTTCGTTTGCTGGTTTTTTGGTAAATTGAAATGTTTTAATATTATCGGATCGAAATGTTCAATTTATTATTGGTATTACAATAAAATTATTGTTCACAGGTAACTTGGATCATTATATATACAGGATTGCATTTTGACTGATCATTTTTATCATATGCCAATGGTGACTTGACTGACAAAAACGTACATGCGTATGATAATTTTTACAGATCAAGTGCTTTATACATACTTGGAAATTACATTCTAAACATTTTTGTGGAAAACAATTACTTGCATTTCAAATGTGGAGCGTATTTAATAAACATGAGATGTAATATTCAATTTGTAAAACGTTTACTTGCATAATTTGTTATATGTAGTTAAACACTGTTATATAAGAAATATTTATCCATTTAAAAGTTATTTATCTGTGCGGAACCTTACGTATTATATTTTAAAGATCGATTATTTACTACTATGGACAGTTTCTTTAAAAACTGTTAATTATGAATTACTTTAATATCCTATATATGTAATTGTGTTGGTAGAAAATTAGTTACATTAAGTATATGCTGTAAAATATTGCTCTAACAGGTTACATATACAAGTAATTAATATACACGAACATAGAATAGTAAAATTGCTCAATATTTGGCCAGATTTAATATTTTGTTCGCATCTATGAAATTTTTATGCTCGATATTTTTTCTTATTTAATTATTGAGATGTTTAGCGAGAAACAGGACCATCGGACGAAGACAGGTACACTACATTTATATAGAAAATAAATTTTATGTATTATGTAAATTTATATATAGTTCATTTCAATAATATTTGTTTATTTAATTTTTTTATCAAAATAATAAATAATACAGTTTTATATTATATGATTAACGATTTTTAAAGAATTGTTATATATATATATATATATCTATAGGGTTATTGATAATTAAACAAAAATAACTCTTGAAAGAAGGAAAAGCAATTTATATTTGGTGTTGAAATGGTTAACAATGAATAAAATAGCACCGCTCAAGTTTTACACAGAGATTTATTTAAGTATATTTACATGTATATGTTATTAAAAATATGTTAATAAAATGTGTTTAATACATTCGTAAAAATATCGGAATCATCCAACCATTAATCGTTTACGCCCACGTGCCTGTACTTCCTTATATTTGGAAACAACTTCTTTACATTGTTTTCTATTTGTGTAATGTTTCTGATAAATATGAAATATTTCTGAAAACAGTAATGGTATTTCCGAATGTGCGCTGTGCAGTGACCGTTCCAGGACGTACAAGTCAACCGCTTTATCTTCCACGCTTGACTCTAAACGTGCTAACCCAAAATCTATTATAACGAAATCGTTTGCAGCTACAAACAAAAGGAAAAATAAAATATCATTGGCTATTAATGAAATGTAAATTGTAACAATCGAACATGACGGCTGCGTACCGTCGTATTTTTCATTGTCCAGTTCTTCACTAATATTTTTTAAAAGTACATTCGATGTAGTTAAATCTCCATGAATTATACTTTTTGAATGCAATCTAGCAATGGACGTGCCTAATCCTCGTGCTATAAACTTTGACAATTGTTCAATATTTATGTCCTTTGAAATGTTTTTCTCTATAAAGTCTTTCAATACTACCGCGTCCTCTATATATTCCATATAAATGCATCGTCGTTCTAAATGTACCAAGTATATAGCTGGCGTAACTACCCCTTAAAATAAACGTGAATATAAACATACGAGATTAAACTGTTATAATGTGTTATTTTACCTGCGGCTTTAGCGCGAACAATAGCGCGACATTCGGCCTTTATTCGATCTTTTGTCAAACGGATATCTAAATCTATGTGTCTGTATTTCTTTTCAAATCGCTCTTTTATTAACGTTGGCTTTCCTAAATAAACACCTTTATACACGCGGGCTTCGGCGCCTTGAGCTATTAATTCGAATCCATGCATGATGCTTAATATCTGAAATATATATGTTTCCGAAAATATAGATTTCGCAATCGCTTATCATAATTTTGAACAATATATTTGCGTGTATGTGCAGAAATAGCAATCGAAGCCATATAACCATATAAAAAGTCGGTATTAGAATACGTTTAGGTTATATATAAAATCGATTCCTTTTATAATTCTATTTTAATATTAATATTTTGATAAATTTACAGCAACGAAATATTAATGTTATCGCAAGCTAACAACCTAACCCAGAACCTCTAAAATAACCATGATCGTGGCATTTATAATATCGCTCGTATCTAACAAGAAGATGTATTATAGTCTGATTTGAAGGTTATGGAGCGATTAACGGGACGGTTTTGTTGAAGAAAAATTTGTGAAATGTTCCTGCGGGATACATAATCGTCACGCGAACATTACGATATCAGTTGTGAGAAAGGAGAGATGAAGTTGCTCGCGCTAGTAAGGGCAAGATGAGGGCGAAACGCGAATCGATCGTTACCCGAGAGCGTCCTGCGCGATAATCGCTATCCCAGCGCTAGTATTCGCCCGTACTTTGTTCCCATCGGATTGACAAGCTAATACTGTGGTTTCTTGTCTTGTTATCGTTAGAAAAACCATTCGTTTGTTTAACCGGTAGATATGAAGGACGAAGTGAAGATGGACGCGAATCGGCTAATCGCTGAAGTTTATAAGCGACCAGCGCTTTGGAACCAAAGGCATATCTCATATCATAATCGCGAGGTGACGAACTCCGTTTGGATGGAGATTGCATCGATATTCAAGTTGCCTAGTAGGTGCATTGATAAAACCGTTTATCATGTGTGTCATTCGCGCGCGCTTTTTCGCGATTACTTGTACAACCACAAGATTTTTCATCCTCTCTTTAAAAGAAAACAATCATCCTAAATATGGATTGTCGCTATCATTATTGTAATAAAATAATTACTTCGTTTGTATATAATATCTTCTATATCGAGAAAATCGTCTATTTCTATATACAAAAAATATGTACTTGTTTATTAATTTGCATATCATTATAATATAAACTATGTAAAAGATCATTTTCATTATTGTAGAACATTTTTATACGATTTTCTTTGATCATTATACGGAAAAGATGTAAGTATTTCATGGAAGTGTAAACACTATTCGTTTTCAGAGTCATAATTTCGTGGGCACTCGGTTGACAAAAAAATCTGGCTGCACTATTTGAGAACAGGTGTGCATAAAACTACCATTTGTATAGAAAAGGTGTATGAGACTCGGGTTAAGTGGTTGGCATTCCTTCTCCGAAGATATTGTATTTTCGAATATCGCGGCACTGTAGTGGTGCGACCAGATTTCTTTCCAATCGAGTGTACTGTACTCGCGCATATAAATAGCGATCTAGTTAACCTCACTTTTTTCACGAGTCATGTTATCGAACGATGTATACTTTTTATGAATTGAAGTGCTCAATCCGATTTGAAAACATAACAGTCACGCAAAATTGTATTTTAAGAGAAATTGATAACTTACGATTTGTTCCTATTTATAGTATTGCCCCACAGGAAGGTTTAAATAGCGACTACAAGTTGAGTTTCGACAAAAACGCATGCGCGCGAACATAGTCGATAGACGTCGACTATTGTTTCTGCGAATTACTTTTGTCCCCTGTAACATTTGTTACTCAATTTATAAATAGTTTCTATTGACTTTTAAATGGATTTTCTATAGATTGTGTAAAGCGTAAAATGTAATTTAGATTTATGTATATGTGTATATTTTAATCAAATTTAAAACAAATTCCGTGTAATAAGATGTGGCGAAAAATCGCTGAAATACTAAATTGAATTTATTTAATCGAACAAAATTGTTTTCATATTTTTTCAGAACCGGTATTAAAAGCAAAATGGAAAGGTTTACGAGATACTTTTCGGGCAGAATTAAAAAAGGACCAAGTTTACCGTAAAAGTAAATTTCATCGAAATAGGCCGGTATGGATACATTTCAAAAGTTTACAGTTTTTAAAAGAACAAATGTTACCTCGTCCTCCAATTTGGGAACGAAGTAATTCTTGTCAAGATGATCGAATGCACAGCGAGGGTGAAAGTGATGGAATACTGTTGCAGAATGGTTTGTCGGTAACAAATAGAAATGCGGACGATCGAAATACAATTCCGAATCACCTACTGTCGATAAGTAACGACAATGGATTGAAAATCGAAAATATCAATCACATAGACGTGAAACAAGAACCTGAAGAGAATTTCGACCATCTCGAATTTCAGAGTGTCTCCGACAACCTCACGGAAAATGAAATGATGTTGCAAAACATCTCCCCTGAACAAGTATTGATGGGTGACCATGATACTGGCATTGGTCTTACGGTAGATCCTTTAGAAGGCAACCGTTTCGATGATAATTACTATTTCCTTATGAGCCTTTTACCCCATATAAGAACATTGCCGGCTGATAGAAGAATGCTGCTCAGGATGCAAATGCAAGAATTGGTTTACAAAGAGGTTTACAAGAAAAGTTCTGAGAGTGCTGCCACGCCGTAAACAGATAAAAAAATTAATATTTTTAACAAATATATTATTCATAAGCGTTTTTCGGAACTGGTTAGAATTTATCAGAATAATTATGTCTCACAGTTTACTGTATTTAAGATGCAGTCCTTGCGCGAACCGAAACTCAGGTTTATTTACATATTGGTCGAAGTATCAATGGATGAACAAAATTTTAGAAAAAAAAAAAGCGTACTTTTTAATCGATTTGAATAAACGAATACTCCGTAGATTGAGAGACACTGGTGCTTTCTCGTACCTGCGGGTACGACCGTGATGTTTAGTTGTGTTCGTTTGTAGGTGTAGTAAACGTTGGTGTATTCCACGGCATTCCTATTTTGTTGCGCATGCGTACCTGTCATGGCTCCTCTCGGTTGATCGTTTAGTTCGTTTTCGCGTTACGATTCGGTTGTGCTTTCGTTTAGTCCGCTCGCGATTGCCATAGCACGAATGCGTCTACGCATCTGTGCCTTAAATTCGGTAACGTTTCTTTCAATAACATGTTTTCGCGGGCATACCTGTTCGCGACAGGGACACTTCTATTGTGACGGTTTTCTGTGAGCGTCGAACTACCTGGTCGTGGCTTGGTGTACACAGGTGTTTACCTTAGGTGACAGCTAGAAAGGTGCATCTACCTCGAATTTTTCCTTTTTTCACGCTCTATACGTTCCTCGTTCGAGCGTCTGTGATTAACCTGTTCACTCGACTGTGACCGATTACACCAAGTGGAAGAACTTAGTCTTCGTATATCGACGAGCATAATTTCGTTGCATTTCTGTGGAATTACCTATCGTTCGGTTCAAGGTGAGTCAACGTTCGGCCAACAATGCAAGTAACGTCTTGCTCTTTTTTTCCTCAAATTATTACCTTACAAATGTTTCATGAAAATTACTTCGGACAGTCAGTGAGGAGCATAAAATAGATTACTGCAACGAATTATACTAAACCCAATATAATCTGTAATTGATCTTTTCATTGTGAATGTTTAATTTCATCTCTTCGGTATATATTTGTAATAAACGTACCATGGTGTAATATTTAAGTGTATTTAAAATAACTGTTTAACGAATAATGTGATATCTCTGTTATGTTTCGTTCACTTTTAATAATGTAATTGATGTTTTTTAGTTATATTTTATGTATGTGCAACACATTATACCATGACGATTGTCGGAACTGTAAAATGTTGAACGTTTATTTCGATCGCGTTGAAATAGGTATTTCTTAGCTAAGCAAATTTCTAAGGCGACATTACGTTCGTAAGTTCGAATAAATGACGAAGCTAGTGTATTCTCGTGTCATCATAATTAAGGTTAAAGTGTTATACGCTCTTGAGCGTTAAATATATTCTTCGTCTACACTTTCGAGCTTGCTCTAAATAGCGTACTGGAATCTCCCTGCGATTCGAACACATCTACGCATTCCGTTCGGAGTGACAAGTACTGTCCTCCGTTCACTTGAAGCCCCGCGGAAGGAATACGGGAGAAGTAGAAGGGGCACACGTATTCCCACGCACACATTGGTCTCTAGCTCGCTATTCGTCGCGGCAGTTACACACACATGTGGACTGCCTGAGAGCAAGTGAGCGAGACAGATAAATGGGCGGTCCGAATCCCCTTGCCCCTGTGCCGTCTCGCGGGACTTCAAGTGAGCGGAGGACAGTATCTATGTACCTGGAACTCGAAATGCTGTCTATCTTATAGGTAATTCTCATAACTAGTCGTAATAATGATAATAAAGATCTTTGTATTTGAACTGTGATTCATGTATTCATTTACATAATACGAAAAAAAGAACAGAAAAAGAAAAAAATAACACACAACGGGAAACTATGTAAAATTCGTGATACGGCTAAAATGATAAAATTACTTATTTTTTGGTTAAAATATGTATATGTAAATGGTCGCATGACAGATCGGGCACAGCACGTGTGCATAACGCATCTTCATTATCAACGTAACGAGGAAATACTGAAATAGCGGGGAGCTAAATAGATAGATATATTGATGACGTCAAAACAGTGAATTTGTTCCAAAACTTTCGAAACTTGTGAAAAAGTACAAATTAAATATTTACAGAGAGAAAGATCCCGATAAATCATGAAAAACTTTTAGGAAAATATTTTTTCGCTAAAACTTCGTGTTAATTGATAACTGCGTATAAATAAGAGAATTCCGTGTAGTAAAAATATTCGTTAAAACGTGTACAAAGTTTTCGCTGGAAAAGAATATTGTATGTTAAAAAATTTTCCTAAAGTGGGTGGATACTGATGACGAAGAAAAATTTTTGTTCTATTTAAAATGGCAATGTTTATAATAACGCGGTTATAAGAATACATATTTATCGAATGGATGTTCTCTTGTACGATTATCTTCTCGTCTGTCTTAATTAATATGGCTTCGTCCACTGTGAACTTGACAAGTTCGATTTACACGTGTACGAAAATCGATCGAATTCGTGACATATATTTGGCATATTACAAGGTATATTTAGATACATATAATAGCTATTCATCACTTTGAACATATTATGGGTATTTCAAATTTATTTGTTTATTTAAATTTTCTATGCTGTATGCATATATCTAAAACTACTGTTTTATTTAAAGCGATAAATTAAGGTGTTAACATAACATTGCGGCTTAACGTTTTATTTATTGCGTAAGAGCATTTTGCATGTTCGATAATTATTTTTTAGTTTTGAACATCCACCACGCATGTGACTCAGTGGCTATGGTTATGTCTTGTTTTACTGTCCTCGATCAGTCATTCTCCTGTTGTACGCGCATATGTACATTTGTCACAGTTGTCTGACATACATTTCTTTCACGAGTGTGGAGAATTTAACATGGGACGCGAACATAATTTTCATTTTCCTTTTGTCTTTTTATGCGCGAAGCTCTTATGATATTTCGATATTTCTATGCGCGATGAAGATAGAAACGTAATAAAAGTCGTTGCTTCGAGTTTTCTCGTATTGCTAAAGCCTGACTCGGTGTACCATGACTTCTGCAGCCGGTTCTCACGCTTTTCTCCGACTCAACCGTGTGACGTTGCATATTCATTAAATAGCATACACAAAAGATCGTAATAAATAGTTGAGTAGAGTATGGTTTGCTTGTACGAACAAAAATCATTCACGACTGTCACAAGTATTAATGTTAGAAAACGGTGATCGTGTTAAATTTCTTTTCTGTTCTTTCTCATTTTAGCGCTTCTGAGCTCTGACTCATTCGAGAACGTTTTTCAGTAACGGCAGGTTCTACCAGTGTGGCTGTGCACGATCGAAAAAGTTCGGACGCTCGTCGGTCCTCCAAGTCGTGTCGAGCTTAGGCTACAACCTGGCCGATAACGAAGGATGGTAAGCTTCCGTTCGCCTGGCGTAAATGTCTCGACCGCTAACAGCGTGGCTACAACGCGTGTCGTCGTGTCCGACAGTGACGTAGCTCGTGATGGTGACGCCATCTTACCGAGTGCCCGCCAATCATATCGTGCGGAGGACGAGGGTGGAACTCGCGTAAACGGAGCTCCTGGCGCTATCGAATGGAGCGAAAGCGGTCCGCCCTCGCTTTCTATGTCAGTCGATCTGCATAATCTGGTCAATCCGAATCTCCAAGACTCCGGGCATTATTCAGCAAGTCCCGAACACGTCGATGCTACCGCTTCGTCCTGCGACGTTAAGGCCGTCAGAAGTCACGACGAAGAGGAGAGCTACGAAGCCTTTGGATCTGTCGAGGGTGACGCCGATGACGGAGTGGATTCACCGGGTGGTAGCAGTTCTGCGCCTTCACCCACCGGCACCAATTCTCTTAGGTAAGTTCGTTGCCATTTCTATATACGTGCACCCAGTATATCGATCGGTTTTTTTTTTCGCGCGACAGTATCGGTACGATTCGTGGGAACCGCGGTAATTTGCGCGCGAACATTTTCAAGTTCGAGCGGAATCGAGTTTCCGGCGTGATCAGTAGAGGGTGCCTTGATCGTCAACTACGAATGCGTAACGGTTAAGTAATTGTTCTCTCGTAACTACATGCGTGGTTCGCGCCTTTATTGCACGATTATCTTTCGTGGATACGTGTATATTTTTAGATGTAAAGCCAGTTCGCATATGAATAGTTGATATGTATCGAATTGGTGCTGTACGCCCAGAGAAGGCGTAGCCAACCAAAATGATACGCGTATTAAATATCTCCGCAGCATCGTAAACAACCGTGTATCTTCGACACGTATGAATTCAGGTTAGGTTTGTTCGATCGTGTCTGAAAAGTTATACAGGGTGTTCGGCCACACCTGGAAATAATTTTAATGGAAGATTACAGAGGCTGTTAATATAAATTTGATATATTTGGCGTTAAACGAAGTCGAATAGAGTGTTTGGTGCGCACTATTTTATTCCGCGTATGAAAAACGAGTACGATGTAAAGTAAGTCGTAGAGGCATTAACCCTTTGACTGCGAACAAGGTCTATAAGCGTTCAGTCGATCAGTTAACTGTGTAGTATAAACGCCTGTTAGCGTTCAGTACGTAGGTATATCGGATCTTCGATAATACAATCCTAAATAGTGATAATCCATTCGGGGAGTAATTCTACAAACCAAAATGAGACCGAAATAAAAAATAACAAAATTGAGTACGAGGTTTGTTTTACTTCCCGGCATTTCATATTTATTCGAAATGTGCAATAATATGCTGCTTTCTCACACATTACATATTAATATCATTCGCGGTAGATCCATTCCCACGATTTAAATCAATGCTCCGCTAGCTTGATGAATAGAAAAACTTTCACGAGAAAAGAGAAAATAAAATTGAGCATCGTATCATCTTCCGGATCTTTCCGCACTAATCTCTCGCATTTTTCTTAAAGCACGAGCCTCATTTGTTGCTTCCTGGAGCACACGGTCATCTCAAACTGTCAAAGTCCATACAGAGATAATTCTTACTTTACAAATTAAACACACACTTCGGGATTACTTTCTTTCGTTTTATGTTACCGCCGTGGGATCTTGTAACAATTATTCCAGTGAAAATAAGTTGTAGGAACAAACTATACATTGAGAGATCAAGTTTATTAAATATTGGAAACCGTATCATCGAGTTCTACAAATTCATAGATATACGATTATCTCTCACTTACGAGGGTGGTCCCAGAAGTACCCGACCTAACAAAAAAAAATACCAGAAATTTGGCAACAAATATCTTTATTTTTCAACGTAATCTCCTTTTAGCTGGGTACACTTTTCTCGAATAAAAAATTCGAGCAGGTGTAAAATTTTTCGACAAAATAAAAAAACTTCAAATCGTTCTGGAAAAATTATTTTTAGTCGCGGGAGTCAATTACTATCATTTTTGGTGATTAGTCATAACCCCGAAATCCTACCCACTTTCGAGAAAAAAATTCGAGAAGGTTCGAAATTTTTCGACAGAATAAAAAAATTTCAGATCGTTCTGGAAAAAATATTTACAGACGCAATGGTCGATTACAATCATTTTTGGTCATTACACATACCCCCGAAATCTTCTGCACTTTCGAGAAAAAAAATTCTTGATCGAAAATCTAATGTGTGGCCAAAAATGCACCCCCCAATTTTCATGCGAATCTTTAAAACGTCATAACTTCTGAACGGATTGGCCGATTTTAATGTTTCAAACGGCAAACAACGTGTATTTTAGTGGAGAATATATAGAAATTCCAAAAATATTCGAAAAGTTGTTCTCTAATCCCGTAAAAAGAGAAAACCCCCATAAAAATGGTCCAATTTTCAAACAGCCATAACTTCTACAATAGTGAATATATTTCGATGAAACTTTTTTCTGAAGTAGAGCTCATGGGCATCTACAAAAAAGTGTTAGACAACTTTTCTGTACAGCGTCAAACAAATTAATTAAAAATGAAAAACGAATTTTTAAGAAAAATCGACAGGGCTCCTATAATAGTGAGTGTATTTCATTTAAACTTTTTTCTAAAGTAGAGCTTATGGGTACCTACAAAAAAGTGTTAGACAACTTTTCTGTACAGCGTCAAACAAATTAATTAAAAATGAAAAACGAATTTTTAAGAAAAATCGACAGGGCTCCTATAATAGTGAGTGTATTTCATTTAAACTTTTTTCTAAAGTAGAGCTTATGGGTACCTACAAAAAAGTGTTAGACAACTTTTCTGTACAGCGTCAAACAAATTTATTAAAAATAAAAAACTAATTTTTAAGAAAAATCGAGAGCGTAAGGTGCTTAAATTTTTCAGTGAAAAAATTATTTTCGATTGCAGGGGTTAATTACAATAATTTTGAGTCATTAGACATACCCTCGAAATCCTACCCTCTTTCGAGGAAAAAATTCGAACAAGTGTAAAAATTTTTGACAAAAAAAAAATTTCAAATCGTTCTAAAAAAATTATTTTCGATTGTGGACATCAATTACAATAATTTTGAGTCATTAGACATACCCTCGAAATCCTACCCACTTTCGAGTAAAAAATTCGAGAAGGTGTGAAATTGTTCGTCAAAATTCAAAAATTTCGAATCATTCTGGAAAAATTATTTTCGATTGCGGGGATCAATTACAATAATTTTGAGTCATTAGACATACCCTCGAAATCCTACCCACTTTCGAGGAAAAAATTCGAACAAGTGTAAAAATTTTTGACAAAAAAAAAATTTCAAATCGTTCTAAAAAAATTATTTTCGATTGTGGACATCAATTACAATAATTTTGAGTCATTAGACATACCCTCGAAATCCTACCCACTTTCGAGTAAAAAATTCGAGAAGGTGTGAAATTGTTCGTCAAAATTCAAAAATTTCGAATCATTCTGGAAAAATTATTTTTAATTGCAGGAGTGAATTACCATGATTTTTGGTGATTAGGCATAACCTCAAAATTCTACTCAGTTACGAGAAAAAAATTCCTTACAAAAAATATAATTTCAGGCGAAAAATGTCAACCGAAAATTTCATTCTTCCGTTTTATTGGTTTAACAGGAATCCTAGAAGTCCGAATTCAACGATAGGCAGGCACTCTTGGTTACGGACGTCACTTAGAAGAACACCACCGTGGTAAGTTTTCATTTTTATACATTAATGAAAATATCTTCTTTATTCAAAGAGTTATTTTCTTCGATCATATTAGTATTGAAGCAATGTTTCGTGTACGATGGCGTATGTATTCGTCTCTGTTAATGTATTACAAAATTCTTTAGCGTGTCTCAGAGTGGTTTTGTATTCTCGACAGATTTCTTTAGCAAATAATGCTGCGAGGACCTAAAGAAATGGTAATTCGACGGCGCGATGTCTGCTGAATAAGGTGGAGGTTGTAAAATTTTCCAGTCGTAGTCGTATAATTTTTCCATTTTTTCTTTGCCTTTCATACCACACTTGGCCAAGCGTTGTCGTGTTGGACAACAGTTTTCTTTCAGTTTCCTCTGCCGGACACTTTTACATAAGAGCATCGCGAGCCAAATGTTGATAAATAAGTCCAATAAAAGTTACGGTGAACACACCTTATTTTGTAATTATTTTTTCAGAACGGAAAATTAGTCTAAAGATAACTGTTATATCGGAACTAATTAAAAATTTTAATAGTTTCATTCGACACCCGATACAATCACTTTTTCCAAAATTCTCGTATTGTTGAATTTCATTTCCGGTAGCCGTACTGGCCTCTTTTGTCGTGTCGAACGGTCGTTGCCTCAACCGTTAGACGCATTAGGCCATTCTCCCACCAGAGCGACGCGATCGAAAAATTGAACGTGTCAGTGAACAAATACAATGTATCGATCTACATACAGTCAATCTAAAAAGTGTTCATAACACTACTAATACTATTTTTTTTCAAATAACTTTATAGAAAGAAGCGATACACTAACGAAAACTACGTATGTATGTACATGTGGCTGTAGTATCGTAGGATTAGGAAAGGTGTCTAGTTTATTTACAGGAAGTTACTATTATGCCTACAAACGCGAGTACAGTTAGCTAAACGCAATTGTCCGTACGCATTGAATATTACGTGGTAAATTCTTGTGACGTCATTCGCCGATACTAGAACGTAGAGCATTGTATAAGCTACCTAATAATGTTCTTCGCACACTACACGCAACGACTTCCTTTACATTGTACGGACAGGTTTAGACATCTACCCTCGTAAGAAGAAACTTAACGAGTTTCTTGTAGATAGCCGCGGATACCACCTTTCCTCAGAAATTAAACGCGTTTCTTATCTGCCGCGGTCTATTAACGCGACGAGACCGCTGTTATTTATCAAGCGGTTTCACGGCGGCGGCAAGTTTTTCACACGCCAACCTTTCGTCATTGTTCTGTCTGTCGGAACGACGGGAATTTCTCGCGCGGCAAATTGAATCTACAGACATGACAGAATTAAGGTAAACGTACCAATAATTGACCAGGACAAAAAATGACCCATTACCTGGCCACTGATGATAACATTAACTATTATTAATCACACGTGTGACGTAGGAAAACTGTTTCGAGCAATGTATATTATTTAATCGTACAGCTTTATGCGTTGAAATCTATATCGACGAATACTTTCATTAAGATTTGTTGGTTCGTCTCATTTTTCGAGACACAAGTCAAGAGGTCCCTTACCTTAAGATAACAATACAAAGCACTCATGTTGCGCAGAAATTCTGTAAAGGAGGAAGGAGCGCTGAAAACAATATGGCCGCCATAGGCGCGAAACGCGAACCCCATCGAGCTGTTATGAAACGAACCAGATAGGAGTATCTTTGGAAATTATTGGAGAATAGTTGGAAGAATATACAAAAAGATGCAACGAAGAAAGTGGTAACCGGAATGCCGAGGATTTGCAAAATAATTACGCGAAAGAAAAACGGATATTTCGAGGAATTGAATCTACAGACACGACAAAATTAAGGTAAACGTACCAATAATTGACCAGGACAAAAAATGACCCATTACCTGGCCACTGATGATAACATTAACTATTATTAATCACACGTGTGACGTAGGAAAACTGTTTCGACCAATGTATGTTATTTAATCGCACAGCTTTATGCGTTGAAATCTATATCGACGAATACTTTCTTTAAGATTTGTTGGTTCGTCTCATTTTTCGAGACACAAGTCAAGAGGTCCCTTACCTTAAGATAACAATACAAAGCACTCATGTTGCGCAGAAATTCTGTAAAGGAGGAAGGAGCGCTGAAAACAATATGGCCGCCATAGGCGCGAAACGCGAACCCCATCGAGCTGTTTTGAAACGAACCAGATAGGAGTATCTTTGGAAATTATTGGAGAATAGTTGGAAAAATATACAAAAAGATGCAACGAAGAAAGTGGTAACCGGAATGCCGAGGATTTGCAAAATAATTACGCAAAAGAAAAACGGATATTTCGAGGAATTGAATCTACAGACACGACAAAATTAAGGTAAACGTACCAATAATTGACCAGGACAAAAAATGACCCATTACCTGGCCACTGATGATAACATTAACTATTATTAATCACACGTGTGACGTAGGAAAACTGTTTCGACCAATGTATGTTATTTAATCGTACAGCTTTATCCATTGAAATCTATATCGACGAATACTTTCATTAAGATTTGTTGGTTCGTCTCATTTTTCGAGACACAAGTCAAGAGGTCCCTTACCTTAAGATAACAATACAAAGCACTCATGTTGCGCAGAAATTCTGTAAAGGAGGAAGGAGCGCTGAAAACAATATGGCCGCCTTAGGCGCGAAACGCGAACCCCATCGAGCTGTTATGAAACGAACCAGATAGGAGTATCTTTGGAAATTATTGGAGAATAGTTGGAAGAATATACAAAAAGATGCAACGAAGAAAGTGGTAACCGGAATGCCGAGGATTTACAAAATAATTACGCGAAAGAAAAACGGATATTTCGAGGAATTGAATCTACAGACACGACAAAATTAAGGTAAACGTACCAATAATTGACCAGGACAAAAAATGACCCATTACCTGGCCACTGATGATAACATTAACTATTATTAATCACACGTGTGACGTAGGAAAACTGTTTCGAGCAATGTATATTATTTAATCGTACAGCTTTATGCGTTGAAATCTATATCGACGAATACTTTCATTAAGATTTGTTGGTTCGTCTCATTTTTCGAGACACAAGTCAAGAGGTCCCTTACCTTAAGATAACAATACAAAGCACTCATGTTGCGCAGAAATTCTGTAAAGGAGGAAGGAGCGCTGAAAACAATATGGCCGCCTTAGGCGCGAAACGCGAACCCCATCGAGCTGTTATGAAACGAACCAGATAGGAGTATCTTTGGAAATTATTGGAGAATAGTTGGAAGAATATACAAAAAGATGCAACGAAGAAAGTGGTAACCGGAATGCCGAGGATTTACAAAATAATTACGCGAAAGAAAAACGGATATTTCGAGGAATTGAATCTACAGACACGACAAAATTAAGGTAAACGTACCAATAATTGACCAGGACAAAAAATGACCCATTACCTGGCCACTGATGATAACATTAACTATTATTAATCACACGTGTGACGTAGGAAAACTGTTTCGAGCAATGTATATTATTTAATCGTACAGCTTTATGCGTTGAAATCTATATCGACGAATACTTTCATTAAGATTTGTTGGTTCGTCTCATTTTTCGAGACACAAGTCAAGAGGTCCCTTACCTTAAGATAACAATACAAAGCACTCATGTTGCGCAGAAATTCTGTAAAGGAGGAAGGAGCGCTGAAAACAATATGGCCGCCATAGGCGCGAAACGCGAACCCCATCGAGCTGTTATGAAACGAACCAGATAGGAGTATCTTTGGAAATTATTGGCGAATAGTTGGAAAAATATACAAAAAGATGCAACGAAGAAAGTGGTAACCGGAATACCGAGGATTTGCAAAATAATTACGCGAAAGAAAAACGGATATTTCGAGGAATTGAATCTACAGACACGACAAAATTAAGGTAAACGTACCAATAATTGACCAGGACAAAAAATGACCCATTACCTGGCCACTGATGATAACATTAACTATTATTAATCACACGTGTGACTTAGGAAAACTGTTTCGACCAATGTATGTTATTTAATCGTACAGCTTTATCCATTGAAATCTATATCGACGAATACTTTCATTAAGATTTGTTGGTTCGTCTCATTTTTCGAGACACAAGTCAAGAGGTCCCTTACCTTAAGATAACAATACAAAGCACTCATGTTGCGCAGAAATTCTGTAAAGGAGGAAGGAGCGCTGAAAACAATATGGCCGCCTTAGGCGCGAAACGCGAACCCCATCGAGCTGTTATGAAACGAACCAGATAGGAGTATCTTTGGAAATTATTGGCGAATAGTTGGAAAAATATACAAAAAGATGCAACGAAGAAAATGGTAACCGGAATGCCGAGGATTTGCAAAATAATTACGCGAAAGAAAAACGGATATTTCGAAGAAAAAGTTGTGTAATACCAAAGAGTACTTTCATTACATGAAAATTATGAAATGTACCTTATATTATTTTAGAAAGAAAATCCTGACTCTCGTATAGTTGCCTTTGTTCAAAACCTTAATTATTGCTTCTGTTCGTTCAAACTTATAACCTTTATGATTTAACGAAAATTGAACAGAAATGTTTAAATTAGACAAAAAAAACCTTGAGATTATCGTAGAACACTCGATATATTATTCTCTGCATCATTTAAAGCGCAAATCGTATCCCCGCCAAATGTTGTTATTCTCTTTCATAGTTACATATGCATAGTCTTTTCTTGGCTCTATCTGTAACATTATAACGAATGTTGACCTTCGTTTATCGGCCTCGTTTATTGGGTTTACTTATAGAAATCGAAATTTGGCTCGTCGTCAGTTTGGAATGCTTACGTCTTCGGTGAATGAAGTTCACATTGGCTGTAAACTCGCAGGCAGAAATTAAAAATAATTCCACGGTTGACTTTATCGCTATCATTAGAGTTTCGTTGCAGATGAATTTCATTACGCAACGATACATCGGGTAAATTTCTCACGGTCGTATTTATGTGTTTCAGTTCCGGTAGGAAGAGACTTAGTTCCAATGCATTAGCAAGGTAAGAATGAATCATGAATTGTTTGATTTTATAAGCAGTAACAGTAAAGTGTAATGCGTATGGCGTTACGCAAGGCTGTTTTTCAGTTTCATTTCGCCACGAAGCCAGTTTTAGTTGAGTAATTTCCGTGCATGGCTGGGGATACGGGAAAATATTATTACCGTGTAAATTAACGAAAGAAAAAGTTGAAAATTATTCCAGCGTGCGTACGAGCATCGGAGATCATTCTCGCGAAGTGCAAAGAATTAAAAAGAGAAGCTTCCATGTTGCGTCGCAAGTTCGCGAGCTGATGTCACGGGTTAACAATAGCAGCGATTTTACTCAGCGCGGAAGAATTTGTAATTCGTAGAAAGGGATCTCGGGGTGTCCTTATTTAACCGATAATTTCCAAGTCGATCCTTTCGCGAAACACAAAACGACAGACTTTCTAAAGCGTGGGCACCGGCTGCCTGCGCACGCACTTCCACATCCCATCCCATTTCCTTTTATGCTTTTATGAATATCTTAAATATACATATATTAGATACATATTGTTTCTATTGGCGTACAGTATATTCTCAAGCCAACGTGGCGTGGAGGCATTTCGTTTCTCATTTCATTCAATCTTTTATTAACGCATTTTTAACCGTACTTCGTTCTTTAGAAACTAAGGAATACTTGCAGAAGAATAAGTACAATAGAAAATAATAAATTTCATTATAAAGTTATTATATCGAACGAATAATATATCTGTAGCGTGACAAACCTTACGCTATCACTGTTTACACGTTGAAGTTTGTACCCGTCAGACGTAAACAATCCGACTATCCTGAACGATACATTATGTCTGCAGTTCAGTGTCTCGCAAGAATTAACCGTGAATGTATGATTGAAATTAAACGTTACGTATAGTACCGTATGAGTAATCGAAGAGAATAGTATGATGCTGAAATTTGAGGAAAAATTAAATATTACTGAAGGTTTAAAAAGAGGTGAAAGTATTTTTAGTTTAGTCACAGGATATGTATAATGTTAGAAAGTAAACGAATGATCAAAATTAAAAGTAACGAATCACAGCTGCTAGGATTTTTAAATAAGGTGAGCAATGATAATACTAATCGTATTAGAACAATTTCTAAGAAAATTGTTGAATAAAAATTATCTGTCCTTTCGATTTCTAGAGTTTTGCATTAAAATGGACAGTGACACAAATATCATAAATTTCTAATAGATCGCGTAGAACGAATAATGTCGTAGAGTATGCCAATTGGAACATTGATGGCAACGTAATATTGTAGTAAATCAATCTGTGACGTGCGTCAATAATTGTTAACGTTTATTGCTTTTGCAGCCAACTGTATCGAAGTGGCAGCTTTAATAGTTCTGGCAGGGGCTCGAACTGTGATCCCGCGGACGATATGTACAGCGATGTCTCCCTCGAGGATGATGTCATCGATCTCAACCATAGAGTAAGTCAATTTTTAATATCCATTGTCATCAGTCGTAGGAATAATTATCAATAGCGACGTAGATTTGCCGTAGGCGTCTTCCAACTTGTCACATGACACAACAGATGCTAAGATATACACTTGTTAAGGGTTCTAAAGGAACCTTAACATCGCGGGGTTTATGATACGGACGTGACTTCTCCGCTACTTTCGTGGATTAGGACTTCGAGACATTTTTACTTGGAAATCATGTTACGGTCATTAAACTTTTTGTTAAGAAAAAAGGACGAGTTTATTTCTCAGGCACTGGATAGATATACTGTCATTGCCCGCTGAGAATGTTCGAGTTACAAATGTTTGATTTTGTCTCGCATTACATATTTTCATGTCCAACGGAACGTTTGCGTACAGCCATATTTTTTGCTCTTATATAAATTCATATTTTGTTCGTTTTACGTCTAAGTTTGTTATTTTATATCCTGACCTCATCAACACCTTTTAGTGCCGAACGACGATATATCGTTGCGTATGCGATGGTGCCTTATTCTTCGCATTAGGAGAAAGATCTGTCTCAAAAAAAATTTGTAAAACATTATAAAGGGTCTAATTTTATTGCAAAAGCATTTAAAAAATTATTTTTGGGTTTAACCCTTTGCCCTAGAAGCCCTTTTCGCTCGGACGAACCAGCAACTCGACACTACTTTCTGGCGGAAACCTATGTATTCTGGAGTCGTCATATTATACAGGGTGTTCGGCCAACCCTGGGAACAAATTTTAATAGGAGATTCTAGAGGCCAAAATAAGACGAAAATTAAGAATATCAGTTTCTTGACTAAGGCCTCGTTAAAAAGTTATTAACAATTAAAAGAAAAAATTTCAAACCGTCCTGAAAAAATTATCTTCGATTGCAGGGGCCAATTAAAATCATTTTTGGTAAATACACATACCTCCGAAATCCTACCCACTTTCGAGAAAAAAATTCGAGTAGGTACTGAACTTTTTAGATGAAATTAAAATATTTAAAATCATATTTAGTTACAGCGGTCAATTACAATTATTTTTTATCATTACACATACCCCCGAAATCCTACACATTTTCGAGAAAAAATTTCTTACCGAAAATCTAATTTTTCTTCCAGACCTAACCCAGACCTGACCCAAACCTAATCCAGACCTAACCCAGACCTGACCCAAAACTAATCCAGACCTAACCCAGACCTGACCCAAACCTAATCCAGACCTAACCCAGACCTGACCCAAAACTAATCCAGACCTAACCCAGACCTGACCCAAACCTAATCCAGACCTAATCCAGACCTAATCCAGACCTAACCCAGACCTGACCCAAACCTAGTCCAGACCTAATCCAGACCTAACCCAGACCTGACCCAAACCTAATCCAGACCTAACCCAGACCTGACCCAAAACTAATCCAGACCTAACCCAGACCTGACCCAAACCTAATCCAGACCTAATCCAGACCTAACCCAGACCTGACCCAAACCTAATCCAGACCTAACCCAGACCTGACCCAAACCTAGTCCAGACCTAACCCAGACCTAACCCAGACCTGACCCAAAACTAATCCAGACCTAACCCAGACCTGACCCAAACCTAATCCAGACCTAATCCAGACCTAACCCAGACCTGACCCAAACCTAATCCAGACCTAACCCAGACCTGACCCAAACCTAGTCCAGACCTAACCCAGACCTAACCCAGACCTGACCCAAACCTAACCCAGACCTAACCCAGACCAAATTCAGACCTAATCCAGACCTAACCCAGACCTGACCCAAAAAAAAAAAGGTTTGGGTCTGGTTTGGGTTAGGTCTGGATTAGGTCTGGACTAGGTTTGGGTCAGGTCTGGGTTAGGTCTGGATTAGGTCTGGATTAGGTTTGGGTCAGGTCTGGGTTAGGTCTAGATCAGTTTTGGGTCAGGTCTGGGTTAGGTCTGGATTAGGCCCAAAACTAACCCAGACCTAACCCAGACCTGACCCAAACCCAACCCAGACCTAACCCAGACCAAGGTGCCTAAATTTTTCGACGAAAAAAAAAATTTCAAATTTTTCTGGAAAAATTATTTTCGGTTGTGGGAGTCAATCATAATCATTTTTGCTGAATAAACATACCCTCGAAATCCTGCGCGTTTTCGAGAAAAAAATTCAGTACAGGCTCCACTTTAAACGTTAATAACTTTTTAACAAAGCCTCATCAAATTTTGGATTGAGTATTTATTAAAAAATCATTGAAAATCAAATACTTATACTTTATGCTACGTGACCTACATAAAACTGTGATCAAACAATGATTATTCTTATGTGTAAATATTGTTTGTAGAAGAGAAACTTGTTTCTATGTTTTTTATCATATTTTATAATTACGTTATTTATATGATTTGCAATAAATATTGAAATGCAGTTGCCATTACTTTATTCTTTCTTTATTTCGTAATATGGTGCTTTTTGAATTTTGTAAATATCATTCTTAGTTTGGTTTTTATGAGCTTTTTCTCTAACCATAACAAACTCGTCAAATTGACTCGGTATTGTTCGCATAGGCACCCGTTTTTCGCTCGGCACTAAAAGGGTTAAGGAACCTCCAAACTCCACACGGGACTTGGAATCCTTTGGAGCTCTTTCCTTCTGGCGTATCGTAGACCCGCGGTAGCGCACAGCTGCAGACCACCGGGGTCTTGGGGGGCTTTGCCTTTCCCCAAAATGTTTATTTACAAAAAAAGGGGCAACGTTTTCACTCATCCTTGCATGGTGTTGACACTGGACAGGAGGGTGGGCGGGAGTGTTGCAAAGGGTAAGAAACGCCCTGCCAAGGTGACGACTTTGAGGATTGGCTTGGAATCGTAATTTTTATTTGTAACGAGTGTTTTAATTTCTGCAAATACAGCAGGTGTTATTCTTCATGCTTAGAGAGAAATTGTATAGTAGCTTTTAAAGAGGTTATCGGGAAGAGGAGGCTTCGATCTTTAAATTAATGGTGGTTTTAGTTGCCAAGTATGAAAAAGACGTCTGAAGTTGATCCCAATATCGATATCAAACTGTACCTTGAACATCTTTCGTGCGAAAATTAATTTGTGAACGCGACATTTAACCTAATGTCCGGAACTGTTCTAAATTACTGTCCTCGAATTAACGAGAAGTATCATTTTCGCCCCGATGTGCGGTAAAGGGGGGACGATTTAAAAATCGTTAGTAGATGTGTGCTGCAAATTCGCGTTGTCAGTCTCCTCCGCAATCGGGATCACCTAACAAGGGCCACACAGACAACGTTGAGTTTCACCACCAACATACACCACATCCTCATCCATACGCGTATTATCCACCACCCCCGCCTTATCCGCCCTTCAATCCCTATGCTCCTTACGCGCATTATGCTCCAAATAATGGATTTTATTCGCCGCCCTATTGCAACGACGTACCGCAAGAGACAAAAGGTTCGTCCTGGATCAGCATTATCTTGCTAATTCTTTTGGCGCTGGCCGCCATTAGCATTGTTTTTTATCGGTCACTCTCTCGCGATGCTCGACGAAGATTAAACGCTAGGCTGCCCACCTTAACGCAACCGGCACAGGTAAATTCTACCTTCTGTTTCTTACGTAATTGACGTTTATTATTTAACACGTTTACTCACACATTATGCACATATGGCCCAGAATAATATTTCACTTGTTGCATTGTTATCTTTTAACTCGTTGGAGCATCTAGAGCGAGTTTATTCGAAATAACGAGACAACACATCGTATCGAAAGGCAATTTTTATTAATATCAACAATCCATCTAATACATATTCTAAAATTTCTAAAAAATGTAAAAAAGTCATTTATTTTTTCAAAGTAATAGGTCAGAGAACTTTCTTAAAGTCTAACATTTGATCAAGAATAACATTTTTTAGTAAAATTGATCAAAATAAAGGTGTTGGATTCAAAATATATAGATTATGTTAAAATAAAAAAATCATTTAAAAATTTTAATTGGAGATTCTGGAGGCCAACATAAGACGAGAATCAAGGATAGTAATTCTGTATCTGTAATCACCACAAAATGATTATAATTTACCTCCGCAACCAAAAATAATTTTTTCCAAAAACGATTACAAATTTTTTAATTTTGTCGACATTGTCCACCTACTCGAATTTTTTTCTCGAAAATGCGTAGGATTTCGAAGGTATGTCTGTTCGGCAAAAATGATTGTAATTGGCCCTTGTAACAAAATATAATTTTTTTTAGAATGATTCGAAATTTTTTAATTTCGTCTAAAAATTTCAGTACTTGCTCGAATTTTTTTCTCGTAAGTGAGAAGAATTTCAGGGGTATGTGTGTTCACTAAAAATGATCATAATTGACCCCTGCAACAAAAAATAATTTTTTCCAAAAACGATTTGAAATTTTTTAATTTTGTCGACATTGTCCACCTACTCGAATTTTTTTCTCGAAAATGCGTAGGATTTCGAAGGTATGTCTGTTCAGCAAAAATGATTGTAATTGGCCCTTGTAACAAAATATAATTTTTTTTAGAATGATTCGAAATTTTTTAATTTCGTCTAAAAATTTCAGAACCTGCTCGAATTTTTTTCTCGTAAGTGAGAAGGATTTTAGGGGTATGTGTGTTCACTAAAAATGATCATAATTGACCCCTGCAACAAAAAATAATTTTTTCCAAAAACGATTTGAAATTTTTTAATTTTGTCGACATTGTCCACCTACTCGAATTTTTTTCTCGAAAATGCGTAGGATTTCGAAGGTATGTCTGTTCAGCAAAAATGATTGTAATTGGCCCTTGTAACAAAATATAATTTTTTTTAGAATGATTCGAAATTTTTTAATTTCGTCTAAAAATTTCAGTACTTGCTCGAATTTTTTTCTAGTAAGTGAGAAGGATTTTAGGGTTATGTGTATTCGCCAAAAATGATTGTAATTGACCCTCGAAACCGAAAATAATTTTTTCAGAACGATTTGAAATTTTTTTTTTCGTCGAAAAATTTAGGCACCTTGGTCTGGGTTAGGTCTGGATTAGGTCTGGATTAGGTCTGGGTTAGGTCTGGGTCAGGTCTGGGTTAGGTCTGGAAGAAAAATTAGATATTCGGTAATTGACCCCTGTAACTAAATATGATTTTTTTAGTGTGATTTGAAATTTTTTAATAACTTTTTAAAGAAGCCTCAGTCAAGAAATTGATATACTTGATTTTCGTCTTATTTTGTCCTCTGGAATCTTCCATTAAAATTTTTCCCAGGGTTGGCCGAACACTCTGTATTAGAATGCATAACGTGCTTAGAAGGTTAGTAATAAATAAAGAGTAGAAACGTTTCTCATGTCCAGGGTAATAATCGCGGGGACAGAGTACTTTAATTCCCTGCGATATCCTGAGCGGGCCACATCCTAAAAAGGTCGTCTTTTTGAACCTGTAGACCGCGAAGAGCAAAAGAGACGCAAATCAGAATTATCCAGCAGAATTTATTCTATTTTCTGACCGGAGTCCCGCACACAATAGACATTACGTTTTTTGCGACGGATGCGAAGATCGTAGTTCCACATCGGAGATTAATAATAATGGAAGTTGCAAGCCGGACGGAAATAGGAACGAAGGTGTCATAGAATTTTCGTCGTCAAAGAAAATCAATGTCGCCACTAACGTATCCGGTACAACCGTGACTCGATCGACAACCACCTAGAAATCATTTAAATCGAACGCAATGCAAATCAAAGGATGTTTAATATCGTACAGATTTAATTCGATCCGTGTTTACCTAATCAGGATATTATAAATTCAAAATGTCGAGAAAGTAAGAGGAGGCGTTAATTACGATACCGCACAAATGAGATAATTGCGTAATTACGAATGATCGAATGGATTACGCAAAATTAAGGTAACAGTTTCATTAAGACGTAACGTTGTATCTAACGTATATTGAATTACGTGTTATCTAGAGTGATACTTTTATTACATCATGAACCATGATGATAATTGACACTTGATAGATTAAAATTATGTTTATAGATGATAAAAAGCTTTAATCATTAATATTCCAAAAATTATTGAGTATCTATAATGTGATATGTTCTTAAACCTGATAGTTAAGTTTACAAGTGTGCAAAGTTTCAACAAAGTCGGTAACCCGAAGGGCAAAATAAAATAAATAAAAAAAAAAAGTCACACTATACATTCGTTTTGTTAGAAAAACAAATGTAAACCGAATACGATATAAAATACGATCACTGTGAAAATTAATAAAGTTGACAAGTTACGATACAAATTTCAAAGTATAAAATTATTTGTGCGAACTTATAATAAATATTTGGAGCAAAGAAGACAAAGCATGACATGTGTTAAAACTCAATCCGATGGTGGTTTTTTGGGATGGCAAGGTTGGCCTCTCCTCAACTTTTTAGTCGTTTCCGTTGCAATTGGTTGTCTGGGATTCAATTTCTTCAAGAAATTTATGTCTACAGTGGGTAACGTCATAAGTAGTGCTGCAGAATCAGTTGCCCCACCCAGCAATGAATAACTCCAACGAGAATAGTATGACACATATCATCGAGAGAATTCGTCGTCCTTAAATTATACGGTATTTGACATTATCTTTTGTCAGTAAAGTTTGCTAAATCTATCGTATTTATATGATTCGCAAAACTCAAAATCTAACTTCAACTATACATATTTTGTAACTTCTAATAAGTGACATCTAAGTAAAAAGAATTTGTCGAAATATAATTTGTTAATTAGTTGTAGCGAGAAAACCATCCGCGGTCTTTAATTGAATTTACCAGACACGCGTAGGGGTGGTTGAAGTAGTTAGTTCGATATAACCTACACGCGATATATGTATGTGGATTCGTCAGAGTTAGTCGATACGCAGTATGGAGTGCACAAATAGCCTCGCGGCTACTCCCAGCTTACAGTGGGCGATTGAGACGACCGATTATGTTCGAAGTACGCTCGAAGAAACGGAAGTGCGCGTAGTGTTGTGACTCTCTCTCTCCCTCTGTTCGTGCATCTTGGATTATCCACACGTTTATTAGTCAGTTTCGCGATTGCATTAGTACGTGCGAAATGTTGAGGTTAGGTTAGTGTCAGACTGTGCACGAGGATGGATAAACAACCGGCGTGCTTGCACGTCGTTCTAACGGAATAATTCTCGACATTGGATTAGTCGTAGAGGATGATGAGCCTACCTGCTACAGGCGTGACGTGACAAATCACGAATCAGAATGGATTCGAACGTTACATACGACGAGCAGACGGACTCGAATTCGATTGAACATTCCGATCACGATAATCGAATAACTTCCGGGGAGGGGCCGTCTCCTGGACCCGGAGCCGGCCTCGAATATGACTTATGGGAAGGCCAGTTTCAATTCGTTGGACAGACACCGTCTTCTCGCGTTAGTCGGTTACCTCGTCGACGTGGTCCACGACTTACCGAGCAAGTAAGATTTGCTGATTCGTGGAATTATTGACGATTTTTTGTTTATGATAAAGTTACGATTATAAATAGAAATTAAGTTTATTTGTTGTTTCGAAATATAATACTTAAAGTACAAAATCGACAATCGATCCCTAAAAATTGGTGTACTGTTTGCTTATTCGATAACAAGAGAGCAGATAATTCCAGCACTCAGCAGTGAACAAATAATTTCCACATACTTGAATTACGAATTACGAATTATTCGAAGCACGATAAGTTTTAGTAGTAAAGGTATAGTGTTGGAATGAATTTTTAAAAATTTTATGGGCGAAATGATACAAATTTTATCGTTCCAATGGTCGTGCATCCGATTGTTTTCGTGTCGAGGTCCAACGGTTTCGCGATTACTGTCGCGTAAATTGGTTAAATTATTAATACAAAGTAAACATAAAAATTAATGGTTATATCTATAATATAAAGCGCAAACGTGATTTTTACAGTAAAGTGAATTCAAATTACTTGCGTATTTATGTTTGCTGTACTACCGTTGGAAACAGCGGTGCTCATTGAATATATGGTACGAGCTAATTTTAAACTTCTAGGAAATAGGTTTAAAACAAAATAACGCTATTTGAAACTACTTTTCAAATATAATAAATTTCTAGTTTTATGTGTAGAAATAAGTATAATATTAATATTGTAGAAACATAATCTTCATGGAACTTCGTATGTGAGTGTCGCTGATGTAAACCTCGGGAAGCGAAGACGTACGTGCGCGTGGTTTTAAATGAAAGCTACCGTTGACTCTTCACCAATACACTTCCTTTATATTTTCATGTAGATCTTACACGAAATACATTCTTAATGCATCAAAATCACCGTCTTATCTAGTTATCTCATGAAAAATAATATTAAACAAATTGCTTTAACCGACAATCAAAATATTAAAAATATTATTTTAAAACTGTAATATTTTTTTAGGTTCAAATGATCCAGGAACAAATGCATGCTTTAGTAGATACTCAATCGGTCGGGGAGGAGCGATATGCAAGAGCAAAACAGGAAAATGCTACGTTGCAGGCAAGAATATTAATGCTAGAAGAAGCTGCCAAAGATGCCGAAACTAGAGCCGAAGAAAGGCTTCAAGTAAGTTTAATAAACTGCTCAAACACGTGCATGTAACTATTTTTTCATAATTGTTTAAATGTAATTTAAATAATGTTATTGCAGGCGGAGCAACGAAGACATAGAGAATGGGCAAGTCGTTTAGAACGAGAACGACAATTGCAATTAGAGAATTATGCCATAAAGTTACAAGCAATAGAGTTAGAAGGAACCAGTCTGAGAGAGGAAATAGTAAGGTTACGCGAGCAACTTGAAAAAGTAAAAACAGAAAAAAGTAGATTGGAAAATGATCTTGAAGAAGTTAGAAGGGAAGTAGAGATTGCGCATGAAAATGAACGCCAAGCAACAAGCCGGGCTAACGAAGTTCATCATCTGCTGGAAACTGCTAGAGAAGAACTATCGACGAGAGTGGAGGATCAACAAAGAATAGATGAATTAATGCAACAGGTGGCACAACTGCAGGCTCGTAATAAAAGTATGTTTTTAATCGATACGTTTCATCCAACAGTTTCTATAGTAATAGAGTTAAAATGTATCACACTTTCTGTTTTAAGGTCTAGAAGAATCACGGGACGAATTGCAAGCTGCAGCGGCTCTGCAGGCAGGCCGTGAACTTTTAATGTTAAATCCTTGTAACAGTACCGCCGAAAAAGGACCTAGTCTCGCTGTAGAATTACTAGCTGGCATAAACCAAGATCAAGTATGTTTTAAGGGGCCTTTCTACCTTGTGGGATTAAAAAAATCGATATTTTTTTTTTACATTTTCCTTTAGTATGTAGTCTCGAAAATATGTCTACCAAATATTAAATTGAAATTTGGAGAACTAACGAAGTTATAGCCTGCTGAAATGTACCACACGCAGGTATAACAACTGGACGTAAAACTTTAAAGCTGTTTTTCTCGAAACTACATTTTTCGGCACTGCGCGCGTGATAACTAAAAAACTATTCAAGATATCAACATCAAATTTATACAGTATCTTCAGAACTGGTCTCCCTATAGCATGAACTAGGATAATTTCGATATATGCAATACTTTTTCTTTTATTAACAAAAAAGCAACCAAATATATGAAAATATTCAGTATTTTTTCGTAAAATAGCTGCCATTTTGCCATTTTTTGTTTTTTTTAAAAGATCCTAGTTCATGCTATAACCACACTCGTCTATATTAAGAATATCGTTGGTTTTAGGATTTCGAATAACTTGTTCGCAAGATATCACGCACGCAGTCGGGTGCCGTTCGTAAAAACTGTTGTTCGATGATCAACAAAAACAGCGTAATCAATAGATATTATGCGTTGCAAAAATTCGTAAATATAGCTAAATATATAATAAATGTATCTACAAAATCCGGAATTAATCGCTCTTTAATAACCCGCAAAAAAAAATCACAAAGAAACACGTATTTTTCATGCCTACAAGGTAGAATGGCCCCTTAATCATTACTTTTATAGCAATTGTAATTGTTAATCTAAAAATCATTCTATGGATTTCATTATAGATGGATGGCCAGATTTCTGGAGATTATGGTGATCTTTGTAGTATATCTGAAGTATGTATTGTGTCGTGTATGTGACATTGTATGTTATTAAATTGTCCATAATACTGTTATTTAAAATTATTTATTACAGATGAGGCAAGCTTTAAAGGAGCAGCAAGAGGTCAATACGCAATTAAGGGCGTACATTGATGGAATCTTATTAAATATAGTTGAAAACTATCCTCAATTGTTAGAAGTGAAACAAACACACTGAACTATTGCATAAATAGTCACTCTGTTTAATGTTAATTGTTTAAGGCAGTTGTACATTACAATTCTTTGTTGGAACTTTTATTTATAGGTTTATACGAGCAATGTTGTCATAAACTATTATACAAATACTATATGGGAAAGAATTTCCGTCCACGTGACCTTAAAATTTTAGTAACATGTTGCAATTAATTAATTTGATGTTTTCACTGCCACTGTTATTACTTCAGCTATACATTTTTTTATACAAAGCCAGTGAGTGAATTAAAACATTAAAATAGGGATTAGGTAAATATGCATGAAATGTAATTAAAAAGTCATTTTAAGCTTCATATTGTCCGAGTTTTGGAATTCAGGGCCTTACAATGTTGCCTTTGTAGAAATGGTATAAAACTATTTTCGAACGTTCAATGAAATTTAATATCTATGTACTATGATACGTACGTACTATATTACGCATTAAATCATGCTTTTTCTTTGCGAGAAGGTAAATGAAAAGTATTTAAAGGTTCTTAGCAAAAGAAAAGGTGTATAGCTGCATTCAGTATCGTGAAACTTGTGATGCAACAGAAAGTACCTACAAAATTTAATACTTCCACCCCATAGTTTACAGTACATTTAGACATTTATACTGAATGACATAGAAAAAGTAATTGAATAATTATATTTTACTACCTCTAGTTTCATCCCATGCATAAATCCTACATTGATTTTAGTCATTTTTTATATATGCCCAAAATTGTTGAATGCTTGTACGATTTGTAATGTTATCTAAATTAAAAAAATTCATATCGGAAAATTTGTCTGGAATCAAAAAATTGTACAGTAAAGAAAAATTGATCTTTTATACCTTTTTAAGGAAAAATTGATGAAATATTGTCTATGGTAATAACAATTTTACGATTGATTATTAAAAAAAAACATGAATGTGTTACCAATGAAATTGATTTTCTTATACTACCTTTTATACAATTAATTTTTCAACAGTATTTTTACGTAAAACAAATAAAAAATTGTCCCAGTTTACGTGGAAATGCTGTGGAATTATACATATAACAGTCCTGCCCAGAGTTATTACTGAGAATAAACTAAAAAATAAACAAACAAATAATAAAATAGGAAAAGATATGGTAATAGCATCAACGTGTTCACTATATTAGGAATCTGGGGTGGTAGACAAGGCGCTCGTGAGTCAAGGTGGTTCTTTCCACCACTTTTTTAATTCCACTTAAGAGCAAAAGTACTTCTATGCTTAGTACCTTAGTGTAAAGACGATATAGAGCAGTGTTACGATATCGAATTTCGAATTTCGAATTTCCCGCTTCACTGTTGCACACTGCGCTCGATCGCGTGTACGTGAGCTCGTAGTGTTTCGAATGCCGAGAAAGACAGGTGGATACTTGTCCTCTTTCTCAACTCTCTGAAACTCTACGAGCTCACAGTACACGCGATCGGGTATAGTGTATGAAAGTGGAACGGGAAATTATTGTTGACCCCGGTGCGTGATCTGGTAACACTGATATAGAAATTAGTGACCTAATCAGTGAAGAACTTGATAGTGGGAGAAGAATAAATTGGCTGGTGTAGGAATCTTGCGGCTCTCTGTGGAGAAAAAGTTCGTTACCCGGGTCACCCTTGACCCAACTAGTGTGGAATCTGACGTTCTAACGGGCTGTCTGATGGTCAGAGAATCGGTTGGCCGGTAGTGGGGACTTTTGTGGCTCTCGACGGAAGAGAAGTTCGTTATTCCTGGTATAATATATCTTTATTATGGTATATCATAAATCTTTTCGAGGAACTTAGAAATTTTTCGTCAAGGTCAAGGCGAAATCAGAATTGGGAAATCGGCGAAATTTTCGAGCAAAAATTTTTTGACGACAAAAATGAATTCTCGATTTTACCAGCAGGCACGAGAGTGACGGTTACAGAAAAATAAATTTAAAAGTTGATTTTCGATTTTGGCAGCAAGTACGAGAGCTGACGGTTACTGAATAAATGAATAAGTATCGTTTATCGACGGTAGGTATGGCGGTGGCGGTTTTAGGTTCATTTTAGACTTTGTTATTAGGAGGACATGATATGGGAAGAGGTGGCACGTATCTTATAACTATGGGAATGCTTTGGAGAGGTAAAGAAAGTTAAAAATGACGAGAACACATAGAACTCTTTGAAATTATAACATTTATTGCCATAGATTTACATTATACAAGGCTTTAATATATATACATCGTATCAAAAGTTGTCAACAAAGGGCAGCGAGAGGCTAGCAGTAGCTAACAGTAATGGTTATACGTTGCCAGATCTATCAGAAGTGATATCTGAAATGATATACATATGTACGCTCATATATGTATAGGAATAATAAAAAAGAATTTATTTTTTTTCAATAATTCAAATATGATCAGAGGTCTTAAAACGTGTATTTCCGTAAGAAAAATGTCACAAAATTTTTTTTCATTATAGTACTTTGCTTATGTACGCCTACATAGGTCGGAAAGTAAAAAATACCTGGCCAGTCGAGACTTGGAATCGTATGCCGTCGACGTGAGATCGAATTTCAGTTGTCCAAGAGCGAGAAGGCAAATGTGAGCCTTTCTCTCTCGGCTCCCACGAAGCGGTCCGAAATTACTTCGGGCAGCTTCGGGGAATCGAGAAGGAGGGCATGCTACGCGGACGTTACACCACAGACGAGGTATACGAGTAGACCTTTCACCACAGACGAGATATATGAATAGACCTTTCACCTTATGGACTTTCGCGGCCGAATCTGACTGCCATACCGACCTGAAAATTCGGAGGTGATTTTAGCGGCCTCTTCTCACGGATGGCAGTCAGTTGAGAAACTAGGCACTGAATTAGAATTGATGGGCAGCCAGCTGTAGTGTGTGCGTAAATACATGTGAGTTGACTATGGGGGGGATTGAAAAAGACAGTGCGGTATTATCAGATGGCAGACCTGTGCCCAAAGGGAGCTGCCCCGCCACTTACACACACTAATGCCAACCACCTTGTATATGAGTTCTGGCATTTCGTATCTCTTCGAGGATTCGAGAAAGGCGGCGAATGTCAGTCTATCCTTCTTGCTCTTAACACAGCCGAAATTCGATCTATGTAGGCGTATACAATGTATAAGCAAAATACCATAATGAAACAAAAATTTCAAAAATTTTTTTTACGGAAATACACGTTTTAGGACCCCTTGATCATATTTTAACTATTAAAAAAAAGACATTTTTTTACTATGCTTATGGACGTTCGTTCATATATTTATACTATTAATACTATTGGGTCTAAACAACCGAATAAATTTCACTGTAATTTTAAATTTTTAAATCTGAAAATATTTGAGAATACTGTCCTATTTGTCCTCTTTGTTTAGCAATTTAAAAAAACGCTGACTCATTAAAATCAATCATATGAAAATGAATGGAAGTTGAGACCGCCCCTACTGAAAACAAAGGACTGTAAAATTTTTGTTCTTTCAGTGAAGAAAACTCTTTTGCTTAATCTTTTTCGAAGGCGAAGGCACAAAAGTCGATTTCGCCACGGCAACAATGGTTGGACGCGACGCGTGGACATTCCCCCGAAATAGGGGATCGGCTTTTGTTTTCCAGAAACGCTAGCGACAATGTATTTTCCAAGAGAGTCGAATGTAAGGACCACTGAAGGACGCTCAGTCTACGATACATTTATGACAGAGTTTTGGGGTGCATGCGGCCTAAAGAGCGAATGAGACTAAACAGGCCTGGCAACGGGTGACGCGATAGCGGACGACCGCGTTGGGTCTCCAGGTAGCGCGTGTCGAGGCATTGATTGTTTATGAATAGAGAGAGAGTAGTTAAAAGAGGCAGACGACCTGACGTCGTATTGCTGGAAAAAATGAAGACTTTGTCCTGAAGGATCTGGCCACGGAGTGGGGAAGGCGTGGGACCTTCCGGTAAGAGCACTGTGAGGAACGGCACTGGACTTACCCCAGAACCGTCAAAGGAAAAATTTCTAACATACAGGCATGTCTCTATAAATTTCAAATCAATTAATCAATATGAATTTGTGATATCATGTCAGCCAATTTCGAAAATATGGTTTCGAGAAAAACTCATTTAAAATTTCTGGTACGATTATTAACCGTTGGGTACTCTTCCCTCTAAATGGCTATAACTTTGTTATTTTTACGAATTTTAATGAGTCTACGTTTATTATAATTGCTAAATGAAGAGGACGAGTTCCGAGTCAAAGATCAGTTGCGGGGTTTTAAAAAAGGACAGATTTGCAGTTTTGTTCTCATTAATGTTTGCGGCGTGTTTGCGAGGGATGTGTCCGATATATACATATGTATATAATCAATTCATTTTCCTTCAATAATTCTCCATTGCAAAAATTCTACAGTATTCTTACATTTTTTTATATTTTAAAATTTTCCCATGTTATTAGAAAGCAGATATACGACGTAAGTTATACAACTTATAGTTCCTAGCATGTATAACATGTATATGTATATAACGCATGGTCGCTTCGTATGGAAAGTCAATGAATCTTCAAAAAGCGCCCAGGTTCGATTACGAGAAATGTAAGGTCTGTCAGTCACGATGGCTTTTGTCGTTTACTGACGATTCGAACGGGTGGCGATGCCAGCAGGCTTGCTTTCGAGAAACGTAAGCGACGTCAGCGATGCAAGAGCGAGAAGGAAAGCGAGTAACAGCCTGTTCTTCTCGGCTCTTCCGAAACTCAACGAGCTCACGTACACGCAATTGGGCATAGTGTGCGAAAGCGAGGAATGAGAAGTTTCCGGGGGCCCGATGCACAGTCTGATTAAACTGATTTCGAGTCGCAAATACGTTTCTGCCGAGTTATTTTTTTAATAAATGATGTATTACAATTTAAAATAAAAAATAGAGAATTTGCGGTGTACGTATCAATGAAATACATCCTTAGGAATTTTAATAATCTTGAAATTTTTAAATACTCTTAATCGATTGATTTCTCCAATGAAATTAATCGATTAATGCCCAATGATAGACCCTACAGCTTTAATTCCGTTAAATAATAATAAAATTTATGTAATTTTATTTTCTGTCTCACTTCCTCTTGTGTTAATTTCTGAATCTGTTGATAACGTTGCGAGTGACACGAAAATGGTAATGGGGTTTCGAGACCTCATAAAAATAGGCCGGAAAAATACATTGGATGAAAGATCTACTTCTATACCACATCTGTGACAATACTCTAGAATCTTTGATGAATCATTGAGAATCAAAACTAACCTAGCGAAGTAGCTCTATATTTATGATGACCTGTGCAAAGCGGATCGCAGCCAATTTGCTAATATTATTTAGTTTTTAACTAATGCACGCCAAAGAAAGCACGTATTATGAAAGAAAAAAAACCCCATAAATAGATAATAAAGCGCCACAGAATTTTATGGATATAAAAATTTACAAAAATTGTTTCTTTCCTTATTTTAATACTACGTCTGGTCTTCTAAGGATAGAAATAATCTTATGACAGAACTTTCTCGGTTTACTTTGGCTTTTCACACTATACTCGATGAATGTGTGTAAACTTATGTAACTTACTTAGCTTGCCAAAATAGTGTGAAACAAATTTTGAACAATTTCTATGTACTAGTACTTCCAATATACTCTTTTATGCAAATATACTATTCCATCTTTAAAATTGTTTGTTACATGTTAATAAACTATTTGTTACTGTATTCCATTTCTTATTTCATAATTCATGTCTGTCCTCTATTTTAACTTATGTATTTATATTTTATTTTTATACATATATACCAAACGATTTATTCGCTAATAATAATCATAATAGTTATAATGCCGATAATAAAATGAAAAACAAGTTGTACCTTTTTGCAGTAATGGACAAAATTATTCTTTGACTAAGGACGGATTAAGGAGAACAGTAAATAGAGAAGTCGATCCGATGTAACACGTAGAAGTATTTTATCTAACTCAAACAGATTCTCGAACGATGTGTGTATTAAAGCAATTTAATCGTGTGTATTCCCCTTCGTTCGTATATAGTAAGAGACGCGTGATGCCCAACCTCAGTAAAAGCGTAACTAGCGAATTGAAAAATTATTCGTTGCGTTTGTTTGGTGTCAATAATTCGCGTATAGGGGAAAAATAGATTTCATAATTGATATAAAATTTTGACAATGTAACAATGTATAGGTAATAGAAATAAATACGCTCATATTTAAAATTGTGCGTGTTTAACGTGCTCTAAACGAACGAAGAGAATTATAAATTAGTGCCGCCGACAAAGGTTTTGAGAGCTTTATATATGTACATTGCGTGTAACCTCTTTTATGGTTAAATTTATAAAGGTGAGTAACAGAACGAACCAAATATTGCGTTTGCGTCTACAAAAGTTATGTTTCTTTCAGTTGATTTTTATATATTATTGAATTTATTATTCTGTATGCTTGCAATAATAACACATTATATTTTACGTGTGAATAAATGTTGTATTTGATAGCTGTAAAAATAGAGTCTTAATTTATAAATCTTTGTTTCCTTTGTAATTTATTTGTGATTTAGTTTATACTTGTAATATTATTAATATTTGTTACAGATTATAATACTTGGAAAAAAATGAAGTTCGCGGAACATTTGTCTGCTCATATTACGCCCGAGTGGCGTAAGCAATACATTAGTTATGAGGTAAAATGAAATAACATTAAAATTGCAATATAAATCGAAAATTAGAATATAGAACTGCAATATAGTAATCTATTAATTATAACGATCTGTTTGGGTTAATAGGAAATGAAAGCAATGCTTTATACTGCTGTAGAAGAAGCACCTTCTGCGGAAAGTGTAGAGCCAGAAGTAATATCTCGACACTTCGCTTCCTTCGACGAGGTGTTTTTTACATTCTGTGATCGCGAATTAAAAAAAATTAATACTTTTTATTCTGGTGAGAAAGTTTTCTGTAGATTACATATATATAAATCAAATTTAATGATTATTAACGAATGCATATATTGTATAGAGAAGTTGGCGGAAGCAACACGTAAATATGCAGCTCTACAGAGTGAATTGAAAATTGCGCTAGAATTACAACATGGCGGAGGCAAAAATAAAGGGAAAGCAAATATTAAACCTCTTTTACCAACGAGGAAATTGAGAGAATTGAAACTTGCGTTCTCTGAATTTTACTTGTCTCTCATACTTCTCCAGAATTATCAAAATCTCAATTACACTGGTTTCCGGAAGATCCTTAAAAAGCACGACAAGGTATGTAAAAAGAAAAATTCTGCTTTGTAACTATTGTATAGATTGATGCTTAATTTCTCTAGGTTTGCAGATTAAACAATAATGAAAAAATAGGGAAAGAATTAATACTTATATTTTAATGTCCCTTACCCTGTTATGCACAAATAAAAATCCAGCACTGCTTTATGTCGTAGTAATGTCGATTCGTTATTATGCAAGGTAGAATATTAATTTTATTCTTATTTTCAGTTGTTGTCGGTAGATAGCGGATCAAAATGGAGGGTAGAATGTGTAGAGACGGCCCATTTTTATACATCAAAAGACATAGACAAACTTATACAAGAAACAGAAACTACTGTTACAAACGATTTAGAAGGTGGGGACAGACAGCGTGCCATGAAAAGATTACGTGTACCACCTTTAGGGGAACATCAGAGTCCGTGGACCACTTTCAAGGTTGGACTGTTTTCTGGTAGTTTTATTATCCTGTTCGTAGCAGTTGTACTTTCAGGTAACACCACAACATCATATAATACAAAAGAATTAACGTAATTTACTGCGATGATATTAAAAATGTTTCGATTTTTAGCAATATTCCACGAAGGCGGAGAAAACTTAAAAATCGCATTTAGATTATACCGCGGACCTTTACTTATTATAGAATTTTTATTTCTCATTGGTGTGAATGTTTACGGATGGCGTTCGTCCGGCGTAAATCATGTGTTGATATTCGAATTGGATCCACGAAATCATCTCTCCGAACAACATCTCATGGAACTAGCTGCTGTTCTAGGAGTCATATGGACCCTTAGTTTATTAAGTTTTTTATACAGTGCCAGCTTAAGCATTCCGCCATATGTAAATCCATTAGCCTTAGTTTGTATCATGTTGACATTCCTTCTGAATCCATTAAAAATGTTCCGTCACGAGGCCCGGTTTTGGCTGTTGAAAATCATCGTAAGTGTCAACGTTTTCTAATGCAGAAATCTAATCAGCGAACATAAAGTTATTCTTAGTAATCTGTTCTTCTAGGGGCGAGTTTTAATAACACCGTTCGCGTATGTCAATTTTGCCGATTTCTGGCTGGCAGATCAGCTGAACAGCATGGCTACGGCTTTGTTAGATTTCCATTTCTTGACGTGCTTTTATATCACTAATGGAAATTGGTTAGAAGCTGGCGACACCACGCAATGTATGTCTGGTTCCCTGATCGTCAGACCTATCGTCAATTGTCTACCTGCGTGGTTTCGTTTCGCGCAATGTATTCGACGATATCGCGATTCTAAAGAAGCATTCCCGCATTTGGCCAATGCTGGGAAATATTCGACAACATTCCTCGTCGTTTTATCCAACACTCTGTGCGTCTATCGTGCTGGTAAGTCATAGAAAATTCCTGACTATGATTGCATTTGTTCTCAACAGAATAGTAGATTAAACAGCGTATGTTCCATTCAGGGGAATATTCAAATCGATGGGAGAATCCATGGTTGTGGCTATGGATAATCTGTTGCTGCGTCAATTCCGTATATTCTCTAACTTGGGATTTGAAGATGGACTGGGGTCTTTTAGATAGTAATGCTGGTGAAAATAAATTTTTACGCGAAGAAGTTGTATATTCAGCAGCGGTACGTAAATAATTCAATTATTCCTTTAACCTATTAATTACATTTATAATTCTCTTTCCAGGGATTTTATTATTTCGCTATAATTGAGGATTTTACTCTGAGATTCGCGTGGATAGCCAGTTTCGTTCTTGTCGAGTGCGGATATGTATCCAGTGATTTAATGACATCCGTAGTGGCACCTCTTGAAGTTTTCAGGTACTTCTTCAATTACTTGATCTCTTCATTTAGTTACGTTATTTAATTATATTTGTATTTGAATAATCGTTTTCAGGAGATTCGTTTGGAATTTCTTTCGGTTAGAAAACGAACATCTAAACAATTGCGGTAAATTTCGAGCAGTTCGCGACATATCGATAGCACCGATCGAAAGTTCCGATCAGACACAAATTTTGCGTATGATGGACGACGAAAACGGTGTACTTAATAGAGGTAAACGTAAAATTGGGGGTAAACGGCAACCTAACCCCAAAGAAGACAAACGTGCGTTGCTGAAAGAAGAAACAATCGATATAGGTATATCTAATGCTAGTTGAGAGTAGTCCAACAATTTTAATGCAGTTTCAGTTTGTAAAAATAAACTGTTTCGAATCCATTGCAGTCTTCTTGTAAGAATCTATATTTTGTTACTACTAGTACAAATCAAACTTTGTAAGTAATTAATGTCTTGCCTTTGTATTTGCCAAAATTGAAGATTATAAAGTCGAATCCCTTGCAAGTGCCTTCTATATCGCTTTTGAAAGAACTCTTCATTAAACTATGCGTTTAATAATTTAGTACTATGATATATATATATATACTACAGAGTCTTCCATAAAAGTATTTAGGCACTCAACACATTACTTACCGCTAACCAATTAGTTTGATACTTTTTAAAAACGTAAGTACTTTGATACTGTTTTCGTTTATCCTTGAATAATATGCATGTACAGAGCAATAGTTGTTACATTTTAATTTTTCTAATTAATTAGCATTCAGTTGAAGAGCAGACCGGTAGAAAGAAGTAAATTAATCGATTAGCGATAGATTATAGGTTAATGACGTATACAGGGTGTTTCTATACTGCTGGTACATATTTTAAAGAATCAAGAATAATAAAATTATATTTCAAGCTTCTTTTTCGTCTTATGTTTGCATGTAAAATCATTTAAAATATTTACCACTAAACATCCTATAATACCTGTCAAGTTATAGTCTTCGATTTTGAAGAATAAACGAATGTTTAATACCTAAAAAGATGTATGAAGTGTAACAGAAAATCATAGTACAGCCATAAATAATTGTAAGTTATACGTAGAAACAAAAATGTCGCTTCATAGTATGAAATATTCATTTGTGTATATGTATCTAAAATTGTAAGGTTTATGGTTGCTCATTATCTCACAGTATTTACAAATGTTACTTTCGGAGAATTGTGAAGTACAGTTAATCTAGAAAAATATACACAATTTATACCATCATGCTATTGTGTTTAACCCCTTGGCGTACGATTCAATTTAAAATAATTTTTCAAACACGTACTATTTAATTTTGCTTATTCGTACAAGAATATTTCGAATGGTCACGAAAAAGAGTGAATTTGTTTTACGAATGATATATGAGACTTGATGACGAGTAGCTTAATGATTATCAAACTCGTAATTGTATGACAAGGGGTTAAGAGTTGAGTATATGTATCTACTTTAGAATAGTGGGGTTAATTTTACCTAAAAATTATTGGACTACAATGCCTATAATATTATTTCATTGTTACTTCTAGTAAACAAACTTTTGTCTTAATTCATAATGCAAAAAAATCTGTATTATTTAACTGAGTAATATATTACATAAACACTTAATTTGCTTGCAAAACCAATTTAGGAAATCTACGTTAAGGAATGCAAGTGTTTATACACAGTAGCTGTATAGTCGAGTTAAAATTCAGTACTAAGTACTTAACATTGTCTTCGTTTTAGCATTTTTGTAAAAGTATTTCCACGTTTATAAACAAGCATATAAATGTCAATAACAGTAATAATATCAACGTAAATTACCAATATTAGTAATAATATATAAAATTGTATATCTTGTACTTTATTCTAAAAAAAAAAATTAATCTTTGTTTATAAATCTCAATTAGTTAATTTCAAGTTTTGTATAAATGCAAAAGTACTTTACAAAATAGTATTTACAGTTCGTAAGGAAAAATTGAAGAGATTTTGATTTTGTTCGCTCGATTTCGAGTTAAAAAAACATTGACTTCTGCATTATGTTTTCCTAGACCACGATAATGCAGTAGATGTTAAATTCCAATGATTGTGATCGTTTTATATGTATGTTTATATGTATACCTTAGTATAGAAACAGTGATGGCTTTAACAGCGAACAAAGATTATTCTTAATGCAAAATATCGAATATTTTTATATTTCTTATACAGAACGTACGAGTTGTACATCTTTTTTAAGATTTGTGCAATATGTGTTACATGTGATTACGCGTAATTATAAGTAGTACATAACGAATGGAGATATGTACATATAGATTATAAATAAAGTACTTATATTTCGTTAATACGATGTTGAGTATTGAAACGAGCATATTGTATCTTACGTATTGTCGGTTTGCTAATAATTGTTACGCTTTATAACAATATTCGTTTTAACAATTTATTTATTCGTGACTGTATATGTTATACATATACATACATAGGTACTCACATGCTACGCGTCCTCGAGTGTTTATATTTCCACTCCAGTTACAGTCTATTAGCTCTTTCATCCAAAGGTTGTTACTGACCGAAGACTGTGACAAAGATCGACGGCAGCCATATTGAAACTGAATGAAACAATATTTACTTCGCAGCATTAGCATATTCCGTTTCACTCAGCCTCGATTTGACCGACGTCGACCTTCGTCATAGTCTTCAGCGAATAGGAACCAAAACCTGTAATGGCAGGTGTGCTAATAGGCTGTCTAGAGTCTAGAAATCTAAAAACTCGGATACGTTCTTTTCGCGAACGCATAACAATTTCCACAAAGTCGAGCAATAACGTTACAGCTGTACAATTGAATGGCGATATTAAATCAACATTACGTGTGACATTTTGCAGGCCAAACAATAGAAAAGATAAACAATAATTACAAACGAATTTATAATTATATTATTTCACTTGCGACTATTAATATGAGAGCTTTTAAGAATTAGAGTAGTGTAACTCAATTTTATTTTGCTTTGAAGAATTAATGATTTTTAATTTATTTGATAATACACTATTCTTACATTCAAGAGCTCATGTACACACGGAGACATTAAATTTGTCGCAACGAGTGAAGTCTTCCGATTGGTAGCATAGCATTAAAATGCGACGTTTCCGTCATTCTATTGATCGAAAGTTTAGCGTGATATATGCATTTGTCGTAAAACCTTGCGACAAATTCAATGCCCCCCTTTCCCTGCGTTTCTTTCAGGTAATGTCAGGTATCGGAGGATTTTATTTCATAGTACAATGTGAAATGATCTTTTGAGAGTTGTATTAGATTTTTTTTATGTTAAATATGTACATAATTTGTAGCTTAAACAACTTGAATGAAATATTTTCGTTTTAATTTATCAAAACTGCTTTGAATCGAGTGCAAGAGATTTGCACTCATTGTAGTTAGAGAAGATATAAAATCCATAAGGCATTTAACATTTGTAAACAATATCATTGTCGATTTGAGAGAAAAACAGAGTTAAATCTAAAGTAAAACTATCGATATTCTATGTAATATTTTACAAATTTAGCAAGAATATTACATGATAGCTTTCTTAGAAAAGATTATATAGATACAGGTTATTCATCTGTTGATAGTAAATATCTTAGAGGGCGATTTGCAGGCCAAAAATAAGACGAAAATCAAGAATGATGAAATATATAAGGAGGATATTGTGTTTAATGTTATATTCTCATATTAACCTCCGATTAAATTTTGAGTAAAATCGATCTATGGATATTGATGGTTATCTCTTGTAATTTGTTTCCCTATACATACACTCGTTAATTATCAACAATTAAAAGCTTGTTTTAAATAAATCGAAGAATTAAATTTTACTGATTGGTTTTCATCGCCTCTGAAAATATTTCTCATCAGCAAGTAAATACATTGTATATTGAAAAATTAATCGGACAGCTTTGGCAATATATTTATCGACAGAAAAGGATAGTACACGAACGTTACGAATCAATTTCTTAACCATTAAACTATATATTAGAGGATTGGTTCTTTCGTCTTCATTTCTTCAACATAATTTTTATAATTATATTATTTAAGTTAATTTATATTTTATTATACATTATGTAAAGAGAAGTATTATAACTACGGTTTTCCTTTGGAATTATTGTATAACAAATACACAAGAATATGCGTGTTAGCTTTTTAAAGACTGAATCTTTTTCCTGTGGCTATACACAGTTGCATTTTTCAAGGAATAATGTACAAAACACCGCAAGAAATAAATAAACGTATTAACTTTTCAAACATTAACTTACCTTTACATAAATTATACATAGCCACTTTTCTTTTGCAATTAAAAACATCCTAACATCCGCCCATTCTTTATTTTAAAAAAAATTACACTCGAATAATTCTGACTGTCAAAGCAGCAAGTCCGTATACGTATAATGAATATTCCAGTTACTGAGAAATAAAGTCTTAAGCGAATACGAGCTCTAATAATCTTACAGATTATCTCGACGACTGTAAATAATAACAAAACAAACGTACAAGTTCAACGGTATATAAAGTGTCGACAACTGAACAACTTGTTCCTTTCAATGTAAAAAGCATACATATGTGAATGAGAATTCTTTAGCGTAACACGATATACTTTGACAGAGAGTCAGCATATTTTCAGCAGGTTTTCGAAGTACCTATATCACTGCCATGATTACTGGAAGCTTTTGACTTCCTTTCTGGATCCATGGCGATCGAGATAAACTCCTCAGAGATTTTTTTGTCCAATCCTGTATACGTTTGAGCTAAGTCTACTTGATCCTCTCCTATCGAGGACATTCTCTTCGCAGAGTCTGTCTTGCCCTCGACGTGTCTCTTCCTTTCCATTGTACCTTCCTGCTCCATAGCCAAATGACGTTTTTGTTTCGATCGAATCTGCAATCAGTAGCATCGTCTTCGTTTTAATGACCGCTGGAAGATTTACAACAATGATTGGATAACTGCGAGTCATTTTCGAGCGGATAAGTGAACTAATACTGATTGTGAGAGGGTACTCCCCTTGACACATCCACAAAGCTCAATGCTGTATTATATTAGAATTACATAGCACTCGTAAGGAACTTCATTTATCGATAAATTATTTGTTGAGGAATGCAGTGGCGCCATCTATCAGACTTATCCGAATGGGACTTCCCCGGCGCGACGCGACGCCTGGAATGCCCCTTTTTTATTTCCGTAAAAGTTACTATGTACTTTAAAACTGTGTTTAAATAAATTTTTAATATTAAAAAATCTACCGTAAAAGGTACTATTAAGGCATTATTAACCCCTTAACGCTCATATTTTTCGGGTTAACCAACAATGATCAGTTTTCTTTATTGGATTTGTTTCTAAAAATATGTGTTTTTTTAATTACAATGTTGTATCTAACGTATAATTTGAAGGAAAACAAATATTATCATCCCTTAAACCGTTGGATTAAACAAATATTGTTTTTCAAAGCAGTCAGACTCGGGGCATGAACGTTAACGGGTTAAAGTAATAATAACTACATCAAATACGTTTGAGTTAACGATGGCCATTCCCAACCTATAAAATTATTTACCCTAAAGCAACAATGCGTACTACAATTTTATTCTTTGTACCAGCACCTATCTATAATTAAAAAAAAAATGAATAATTTTGAGCGAAGAAAGTTTGAGCGATTCTCTTTATAAAATTGACTGATAACTTTGCATATTCTGAAAATTTTATGAAGCATTTGGTACCGTGATCAATAGGTCACAAAAATTGTGTCAGCCATTATACATATATTATAAAGATACTTAACCATTTGAGAGGGAGGACGGCCAGCGTATGGCATGTGTGGAAGCATAGGAACAGCACCGTAAGTCGGAGCAGCCATTGGCATAGGCCCAGCGGGTAAAAATCCTCCAGGAAATTTAGCAGGAGCTCCAGGCATTCCATAAGGCGGCTGCAACAAATCACAAATTTCCTATCCGTTTAGGAAACTGCATTTTCTCCAGTCAAGTTTTTATACGTTGTAAACGTAGGGGAAAGTGGGATAAAATAGTTATTCAATATTATCTGATTTCAATAAGAAAAAGTAATTTTTATACTGTTATGTTGTAGCTAGTTGTTATATGAGGAGAATAATTTATTAATAGAATATATTGGTAACTGTAACATAATGTTTTACAGAAAAATGGTTCGATATTATGTGAAGAAGACATCTATGTCTATGGAAGCATTTGTTGCAGCAGCTAATGAAATAACAACAAATCACAAATTTCCTATCCGTTTAGGAAACTGCTGCACATTTTCTCCAGTCAAATTTTTATACGTTGTAAATGTAGGAGCTAATGAGATAGCACAAAACTTTTCGATGAGATAAATTAAGAGTCCTTTTTATGTTTGCATAAATACTTGTTGTATTTCTTTAATTTATGTGTCACTTGCAAATTTGTATGAAACGCAAAACGAGTAAAAGGAAAGGGAAAAAATTACTACTACTTAGACACGGTTCTGCGAACTAAATAACCCACTGATGAGACTCTCTCTTGCTTTTTAATAATTAGTTTTCATTGCAAACTCGAGTGCATTATAGGTAGCAGAGTATTTCTTGTGCTGGTGTGTGTGTTTTCAGAATGTTAAAAGCAGGTTAGTAAAAGATTATTAATAAATATTGGAGGAGGATGATGATTGGTAAAAATTGTGTATCGTTTCAGGGGATCTGGTTGTTACTCGGATCGCTGGAAGAGAGGTGATCCTCGTGACACAGAAAGACGCCATACCAAGTTCGTGCATCTCTGAACTGCAGGTAGAGCGATCGCCCGGGGGGGGGACAGCGACGAGTTTCTCTCGTTTGAACTTTCTAGCCCGCGTGTCACTGACCTATCCCTACCTCCTGTTGACAGAGGTCGACGCAAGAGGCAGAGAAAATACGATCTCACCTGTATCATAGGGTGCATCTGCAGCATAGGCTGCACCACGTATATCGGCTGGCTCTTCGGCACGTGGGTCTGAGCCGTGACCCACTGGTGAACCATGTTACGGGTTTTCAGTCGACCGTCGCTGCCCGCTTCGTCGCCGTTGCTTGCCCTGAGACATCCGCAGAGCTTCGGGGTCAAGGTCAGACAGCTGTAGCCCGAGATCAACAACTCGGCCACGCTGGTCACCAGGAGGCCGATACTTGCCAGAAGACTCGCCCAGCCACCTTCCACCTCGTCCACGTTACCGTCTTCGTCCTGTAACAACCGTTTCCCTTAGTTATTATCAGCCCTTTGCAGTACCAAATTAAATTTTGCGATGTGATTTCTAAAAATAAAAAAAATATGTATAATTTAAATTTTATTTGTATATTTTCTAAATTCAATTTGCCATCATAAAAGAAACTTAAATGGAGCTATGGTACGTATTACGTTTGTCGCCATAGCCAGTGGAGTGCAAAGGGTTAGAGTGTACCAAAACAATTATACCACGATGAAAATTTGAACAAAATTCTTTTCTTTTCTGAAAATAATACCCCTGCTGGCCTGGACGTAAAATTCTCATTCTTTCGTGAATTTGAAGACGATTGTAGTCTTGTGTTATACAGTAAAAATTATAATTTCTAAATTTTCATAGTCTTGTTATATTAAAGATTAAGGATTTCGAGATTTTTCAAAAATTGACTTTTTTAAACATGTACCACTTAAAAAAAATCTAGAAACTGTTATAATAATTATTGACTTTCATAAATATTATCTTTTCAACAATAATAAAATTGGACATACATCATGTTTTCTTGTAGTATTTTTTTGCACTTTTTGGACGAAATTAAACAATTTCCAATCATACTAAAAAAATTATATTTAGTTACAAGGATCGATTACAAGCATTTTAGGTGAATAGACATATCCCCGAAATCCTACGCGCTTTCGAGAAAATAATTCTTTAACGAAAATCTAATGCGAGGCTTCCTTGAAATTTCATGCGAATCTTTAAAATGTCATAACTTCTGAACGTATTGAAGGATTTTAATGTTTGAAGCGGCAAATAACGCGTATTTTGGTGAAGAATATGTAGGCATTATAACAATAGTGAAAAAGTTGTTCCTTAATCCCGTAAAGTTAGAAAAACCCCATAAAAATGGTCCAATTTTCAAACGGCCATAACTCCTACAATAGCGAACATATTTCAATGAAAATTTTTTCTAAAGTAGAGCTAATCGGTGCCTATAAAAAAGTATTAGACATTTTTTCTGTAGAGCGTGAAACAAATTTATTAAAAATGGAAAACAATTTTTTAAGAAAAATCAACCAAGGGGCGGTGTCTAAATTTTTCGACGAAAAAAAAATTTCAAATCGTTCTGAAAAAATTATTTCTAGCTAAGGGGGTCAATCACAATTATTTTTGGTGAATAGACATACCCCCGAAATCCTACACAGTTTCGAAAAACAATTCAAATAAATATATCGCGCATAGCACTTTTTTTTTCGTGACTTATTTTTGCTTTTCTTCTTGTATACACTGTTCTGCTCAACATAGAAATGTTTAAAACCATACAATATAGTTATCTATTAAAGAGAATACAAAAATTCAAAGTGTAAGATGCTTTTTCACGCGAAAAACGTCGAAAAAATCGGTTTTTCATTTTTCCTACTACGGCGCACCCTACCAAAAATCTGAAAAAATTCATGGAGATAACCAATGACAATACGCATTTACAGCAATTATAGAAATCTAGTGTCTCGAAAGCTTCAATACGAAATCCGTATTTATCTGTGTTTTTTTTGCGTTTTCAATTTTTCACACCTAGGATTTGGAATCGAAAAATCTGAAAAAATTCAGGGAGATAACCAATGACAATACGCATTTACAGTAATTATAGAAATCTAGTGTCTCGAAAGCTTCAATACGAAATCCGTATTTATCTGTGTTTTTTTTGCGTTTTCAATTTTTCACACCTAGGATTTGGAATCGAAAAATCTGAAAAAATTCAGGGAGATAACCAATGACAATACGCATTTACAGCAATTATAGAAATCTAGTGTCTCGAAAGCTTCAATACGAAATCCGTATTTTTCTGTGTTTTTTTTGCGTTTTCAATTTTTCACACCTAGGATTTGGAATCGAAAAATCTGAAAAAATTCAGGGAGATAACCAATGACAATACGCATTTACAGCAATTATAGAAATCTAGTGTCTCGAAAGCTTCAATACGAAATCCGTATTTATCTGTGTTTTTTTTGCGTTTTCAATTTTTCACACCTAGGATTTGGAATCGAAAAATCTGAAAAAATTCAGGGAGATAACCAATGACAATACGCATTTACAGTAATTATAGAAATCTAGTGTCTCGAAAGCTTCAATACGAAATCCGTATTTTTCTGTGTTTTTTTTGCGTTTTGAATTTTTCACACCTAGGATTTGGAATCGAAAAATCGTACAAAATTCTCAAACACGTATCTCAATAACCACAATGCACCAGATTTTTTTCATAATTTTCGTACTCGATTAAATAGGGGAAATAGGCAGAAATTCGTTAATCCGAATTTTCTCAATAACTACCCTTCCAAACAAGATAGAGGGTTAAAATTTTGGCACAGAACGTTTTTTTTTGATGCTCTATCGATGGATCCATCGTATGTCACATTTGGTTCAAGGGCACATTTGACCCCCTTATTCGGCTATACCCTTTTATTGCTATTTTTTGCACTATTTTTGTATATATGTCGTATATAGTATTTCCACTAAAAATTTAAAAAATGATCTACGAAATTAATCTTATCTCGAAATTAGTTTTTCGTGTCTTCGATGGGATACTCTTTCGAGCATAAATATCTGTGGAATTTAATTTAATAATCTAGCCGATTAGCCGCTTTCCAACTGTCGTTTGTGCAATGGAGACTTTGATCGAGGGAGAGGTGTCCCTGGGATCGATCCTCGATCGAAAAGGCGCATTCCATCGGGATCCAGAGACGAAACAATCTGTGAAATCTGTCCTGACCGCGTTTTAGCCTTGGCATTGGAACTTTCTCCGACGGTCAAACGGTTCCAGCGGCCCTGTTCCGGGCGGTCTGGCTCGCCGAAACTCACTGATTCGAGATGAGAAAACGATGGTGAACGAATCGGGGTCACCCGGTGCCACGGACTAATTGGGGAGCGTATCGATCAACGATGGCGGTCGTTAATTATCGCGAGCGTTCCTCTCGATCGAGCATACCCCGCTTGGCTCGTCTCGGGATTCTTTGTTTCGCACGCAATCGCCAAGAACTCGAACGAGAACGCAGCCTGCGTTTGTTTATGTAAGGAAATAACATCACTTATACGATGACCTGGTATTTTACAGTGTTATTAACGATCCCAATCGCGCCAAGATTGCGTTAATTGTCGAGCATGCGATGCAGGTAACACACTTTTCACACGACACGTAAGATAATAATGAGAGAAACTATGTGACTTTGAAATTAGCTCGACTTTTGCAGACGTCCACGTTTCAACGATTCGATCGATCAGTGGTTTAAAACTTTTGCAAAGAATCTTTACTCCGTAGCATGATGGTGACTTTGGTTCAACAAGTCCTTAGAATATCTAAGATCTGGCGTTCGTAGCATCGAAAATGGTTTGTTTTTAATAAGCATCATGCCTAGACAGTCACTAGACAGCTGTCAAAGTCTCAGTTATATCCACCTTTCATGTGGTTTCATTTTTATTGTCGATCGAAGCAAGAAACTCCCTCTTGCATCAAGACAATGCACACCTGTGCAGTTCCGATGGCTAAAATCATGGAATTAAAGTTCGAATTATCACAACATCCACCATATTCACAGGATTTGGTCCCCAAGTGACTTATTTTTATTTCCAAACTTTAAAAAATGATTCGACGGACAACGGTTCACGTCGAACGAGGAGGTCACCGCCCAAACAGATGACTATTTTGAGGGCCTTCCGAAATCTTGCTTTTTAGATGGCTTAAAAAAGTTGGAGAAACGTTTGATAAAGTGTATAAAGCCAAAAGGAGATTATGTTGAAGAATAAAAAAAAATCTATCTAAAATAATTTGTTTTTCTATGTTTTTCTAGGGGACTTATTGAACGACACTCGTACAACTTTAATGGTACTAAATGGGGAATCTTTTTGCCTGAAAATTTGCTTATACAACAGATTTACCCACTGACATAGTGCATTGAACATTCTCAATGTTCTATATGTGTATATGTTGTATATGTCGAGCACTTGTGAGAGAATGTTTCGATGAACATTACAGCGAAGTGCCAACGTATTTTTCGACAATTACACTTTCATGCAATGATTCTGACAGAACAAAAATGAGAGGATCGTGCAATGCAACGGGAATCCCATGAAAACAAATCGAGGAATTCGTCCGTGACCATAAGCACAACGAATTGATGAGCACTGAACGCTCTAATACATTCTACAGCCTTACTTTCCTCGTCAGAAATCAGTTTCCTTTTGACCCACTGCGATGTGTGTTTTCCATTGTTCTCCGGTTGCACGCAAATGAAATTAGCACAGTTAAACTGGAGAGTCTTCGTCAATTTTATAGACTTTCAGTTTCAGCGATTACGACTCATTTCTGGTCAAAGTCTAATGCACTTTTAAAATCTCTAAAAACTCTATTCGATGATCTTTACATTACCAGAATTTTATGTTTCGTGTTTCACAACGATATTCGGGCAATCAGTTCAAGAATGGCGCATTTTTTAAAATTTTCTATTACTTTAAATATGAAATATATTTCATAATGAAATTTTATAGCGATACATTGAAAATTATTCAGCAATAACAAAATTGTTATTATTATATTATAAAGAGATTATTCGTAAAAAAAAGTATTTACCCATATACACTGTGGAGCATAACTATAGCACCACTATAATTTTCAAGAGTTTTGTAGTTGTAACTAATGATTTCTAAATGTTAATAATACCACGTGAAAAGGACTAGAAAAAAATTATAATCAATGGAAAAAATACAAAAATAACATTTATTTAACACGAAGTATGATAATAAATGAAATATTGCAATGGTGCATAACTATAGCACCAATGTATTTGGAACGTAATAATAAGGTTAAATGGCTATAAAGTGTTAAATTTCTAATTCAGTTTATTAAAGCGAGCAGTTTCGATAATGAGTAGGACCTCCTTTTTTATGTATTAATTCGAAAATACGATTGTTCGTACTTGTAATGAGTTTTTTCAAAGTTTCTTCGCTAATTTGATTCCACGCTTCAATAACT